ACATCATTTTAAAATCTTGGGACAAAGAAACTGACTTCCATGAAACTGGAGGAAGAAAATGAGTTTGAATGAAGCTGACTGCAAGGGTACTTCTACCCTTATCCAAGGAGGAGGACTGTCATCTCTGATCAAATTTGGAAAGAGCTGCTTTTAGTGGTTGTGTTTTGAGGATGATTATTATGACTTGATTCTACTAGATGAGAAGGAGAGAAGACAGGATTAAGAAAAATCGTGGGAAAATCGTGTTCTGTGTCCTCATTTCTCAACATCCTTCTCAGCTACGGTGAGAACACAAAAGGAATAGAGCAGGATTCCCTGTGGAGGGGGTTTGTATTCAGGTGGTGATTGCTTTGCTTTAATATCTGCTTGCAGAAGTGTAGAGGTTTTTTTTGTTGGTTTTTTTTTACTGGTGATGAATTACTTGTTTCTGTGGCTTTGATCTACAGCTATAATCTGATTAAACTGCAGGTCAGGGAAATTACCTGTACTGTGGCTTCAGCTGCCTGTAAGAGGAATAATAAGGTTTAAACTACTTAGCACATAAAATTGACAATAGGATTGTTCTGTTAAAGGTCTTTTTCATTGGTGTGTGTTAACAGTATCCTTCCACAGCACATGGAACATTTAATTCCATGACCCATAGCCTGAAGATCTCTTACTACCTCATTAAGAGCTGACATCACCTAAACCTGCCAGCTCCCAAAGCAAGCAATTCCAGAACTTTATGCAAACTAAGGTCATTTAAATTAGGTGGCAACACCTGAAAGTTTGGGACACTAAGAACTCTTCTACAGTGGTAAAACTGTTAAAGTTGTTTAACAGTACATGTCTGATGCACGAGTAGGGAGAGTCTGTACAAAAATTAATAAGTAAAATCTTTGTTGGATGCTATATACCCCTGCAAAATCTTGATTCCATCAATTTGTCCTTTCAGGAGATGGTGTGTGAGGCTGTTAGCTGTTGTCTGAAGCCTGTTGTGTTCAGGTGATGTTGAATTAATGGGTGGAGGAAAAATCAAAGATGAAGTTCACCCACAAGTTTGCTACTACTGTTCTTCAGGCATAACCATATATGTTTATTAACAATCCTAAGATTGCTGCAAAAATATTTCCTTCTGACAGGTCATAGTTAGAGATACAGTTACTGTCTACAGATCAGTTAGGGAAGTCAGTTATGTTTCAGAACCCACCCTTTAGCAAAGTGTGCCAGCTGTAAAGGATTAGTAGCTAGATAGTCTCTAAAAACTGTAATGAAAGTTTTCAGTTGTAGCAAGTGTTAGTGGTAACTCTTAGGAATTGAAGGAAAAATACTTATTTTCCATAAAACTGTCAACCACTTGTATCAGCAAATTTTCCTCACATCTCACTCCAGATGTGAATGATGTCTTGGATGCAGTGCTTTGGGGCTTCTGAACACGTAATCTCTCCTAAATATTGCTGTGGAATAGTCAGTGTCCATGCTGTCAGTGTTTCCTACTGCTTCCACCTGCCCTGAATCAGCATGGGTATGCTTAAATACAGACAAAGAAGAAAACAACGCACTGAGTATTAAAACTATTTTAAATGTTTGTTGAAGATAACTGTTATTTTGAGGAAAATCTAAAATGGTAGTTGCAGGTTGTGCTTTGAGGTTCCTTCTGGTGTGAGCCTTGCCAAATATTGAAATTATGAAATTAAAATACTAATTTAAGTGTGTTGGACTCTTTAGTATGCTAATATAGAAAATTTACCTTTTCTACCCAAAATGAAAGATTTCCCACATTTATTCTATATTTTTCTGTATTTCTGGCTGTGCCCTTGATGAGCCTTGGGATCAGTCACCTCCAGCTAAGACTCATTAGGCTGCAGCTGCTTTTCATTGTGGCACAGTTTTTGCACACACCTCCAGGAAAGAGAACTGCAGGGGTATGAATTTCTGCTTGGAGTGAAACTCCTGCCCATTTCATGTTTTTTAGTTTTTAGAATCACAAAACGTGATTGGATTCTGATGGCTTTTATAAATTTACATTTTAGTAATGTAAATCCTCAATTCCTTATGGGGGGGTTGTGTTACTGAGATTTGATGAGGGAACTGATACAGCTGCTGATGCTTAGGGCTGTCAGGGGAAAACCAGGTGGAGTTTCCCTTCAGGAATGGTGAAAGCAGTGTTGTGTTCTGTGTTGGCTTTGTGAGGTCTGGGGCTTTCCACGTTTTTTGTAGAACTTGTCATGCAGAAGCAGATCATGTCTGGCACATCCTCACTGTGAAAATGAAAGAGGTGTGCTGTAAGTGAAGCTTGACTTCCAGAAATAGAGGATGTGAGCTGGGTAACACAAAACTACTGCTTTGAGAAGTTGTGCTTAATGTTATTGGCTTATCTGTGCTTGATAATGAAGCTTGTTAGCAAACCTCTGCTTCTGTAGAATGAATATGGCCCTATTAGAGATGCAGGATGGTGTATGCAAAACTGAAAATTTGTGACTGACTGCTTTGAATTATAGCAGAACTGAAGACAGATATTGGAACAGAAATTAATTCTTTTGGAGACAGTGGTAAAATAGATCCATTTGTTCAGTGATATGTAAATGGAGTTGGAAGTCGGATGGCAACAAGAGGAAAACTTGAATAGAATAGGTAACCAAAGAGGCTGTATGATCTTCTCTTATATGATTTTAACATCAAATTAAGCAAACTTGCTCTAGTGTTAAAGAGTAGGTGTGACTGCATGATCTTCTGATGCATCTTATGGTGTGATGGGGTAAAGACTTAAAAATATGTATACGGGAAAGATACACCAATATTTGCGGGATTTTCTTTCTGTACTTCTTACCAGCTAAAGGGAAACAACTTGTTTCCTTATTCTGCTGTGGGAAGACTGAATTGATCAAGAATGGTAAAAACTTGGAAGAGGGAAAAGGAAATGTGTCTTTCTTGTCTTTGCCAAGTCCAGTGGTTCATTCCAGATTAAATGTAACCTCTGAGTTCCAGCAAAACAGAACTTTTTATACTCTCAGGTTCTAAAGAGAGGAAAAGTTTTTTGTCTCCTGTGGGGGCTTAAATTTTTATTTATCTTACACCTTTAGAACCTGGAGAGACAGTCCTGACTACTGTGTTTTAAAGTTTTGAAGCTCTTCAATTTTAGGAATAAAATGAAAATTCCTTTAGCTATCACATGTTTTTATTGAATTGGATGAGAGGCTGTTGTATTTCAGTTTAAAGTTTGATTAAAGCACAGAGCTGAATCTACATGTTTGGTTGGGAAATGATAAAGAGTAGCTATTATGATGTATCAAGGTAGTATATGGAAATACTTGAAATATAATTTTTTTGAACTATGGTTTGTCTTTATTTCATTTTGGACCAAAAAAACTTAGGGAAGCTTGACTGAACTGCTGATCCAGCTGGCCAAGTAGGTACTTGAGAATATTATTGAAATAATACAATGTGTAAACAAGCCCTATTAGGTTTTCTAGCAGGCAGCCTCTTTTGCCTCAGAATGAGTCATTCTAATGTAAATTTAGTATGAGGTGGTGTAATAAAATATATGGCCAGAAAAGCTTGTTAAAAATGCTGGGTGATAGAAGGAGCCACTGACACTGTGAGAAACTCTTATCAGTTGTTACCAGTGAGCTCCAGTCGGTGCCCACTAGGAGTCCCTCAGCACCAGCAAAGGCCCATTGTGAAGTTTGTTTAAGGAACGGGCAGTGCATCTCTCTCTCTCTTTTGCTGCTAATATTTTGCCAGTGATGCACAAGTTTTGTACCCAGGCTACCCTGTCTTATCCTGGCTAGAATGCAGCTATTTGAAATAAATTGTTTCTAGTTGGAAATGAGAAGCAGCATACTAATGTTAGATCGACTCTCCTAATTCCTTTGGCCTCTAGGAAGTCTTGAAATAATTTCTATACATTTTATTAAAAATTACAATGACAATCCCTTCAATATTGCTTGCTGCAATTTTATAAATTATACAAGGCAATCGGTGTTATGGCTGGTGAAGCAACTGGTGCTAAAGTCCCTTGTTCTGTGAGCCCATGAGTCTTCTCTTCCAAAAAAAAAGAAGTGTTTTTAAATAAGCCTTTTTGGTAGAAGCTCGGGTCTAGCTGTATGATTAGGTCTGTGCATTTATGAAGAGTCTGTCAGTGCTGATGTAGACACTGAGGCTCTCTTCATCTGAATTCTCTAGGCAACAGTGAGGGCAAACTTCTGAGGGAAAAAGTGCTTTTATATTTCCCCTTTCACAAAGTATACTTAGTGGAAGGTAGTTCCTCACAACTAATTTCCAGAGGAGCTTTGGAAATTGGCTTTTGAAGGGCCAGCCTTTGTGCCTGGAAGAGAATTCTGGGCTCGTATCTGTGGGCGCAGTCCTGGGTGTCCGACTGGGGCTGAACTTCTCTGCATTCATGGCTTTGGCAGCACAGATTGTGTTCTCGGCTCAGAGGAGACCTTCACAGCACTGCAAGATGTTTGAAGCATGAGCCAGACTGTAGGAACTCTGGCTGTTCAGAAAAGTGAGATTCCAGCACCTGAGCAAGTCATCTTTTCCTTGGGAGCGGTGGCATCGCTGCTGCCAAGTCCCAGCACCGCAGATCTGGCTCAGCTCTGTGCCTGACTGGACTTGTGGGTCAGCGGTGCAGGGGCTGCCAAGGCACAGTGATGCCTGGAAAGGCTGACCTGGAACAGAGACTAGGCAGAGCAAAAGGAATAAAATAGGTATTTATTGAAAGGATACACCTTGGGCAGTGCAAGGTACACCGGCCAGGGCTACACCTAAATCAAATCCAAGATGGATCCTGGTCACGAGTTTTTACACCTTTATAAGTTTTGGTTCATCTGCATATATGAGTCAATTATCCAAACACAGCCCCAGGCCATGAAGTCTCAGCCCCCTGGCTTGCCCCATTCCCTTAGCCATTGTTTGTGCTTTTTGGGTACAGGTTGTCCTTTGTTCTCAAGCTGGGAAGGGATTGTTTTGTCTAACTACCCTGTGAAGAGAACTTACTTAATATGAAGTTTCAGAGTTACACACCAAGCAGCAGAGAATCTAAAAAATATAAAAGCTAAAAGCCAAAACATCACAGCATGCAGAGGATATTCCTGTCCCTCCTTATCTCTTCTTGGCTCTGTGGGGCCAGGATCTGCTCATTCTCATCCTGCTGTCTGCAGCCACAGAGTGCCTTCACTTAGGTGCCTTCACTTAGGTGCCTTCACTTAGGTGCCTTCACTTAGGTGCCTTCACTTAGGTGCCTTNGTGCCTTCACTTAGGTGCCTTCACTTAGGTGCCTTCACTTAGGTGCCTTCACTTAGGTGCCTTCACTTAGGTGCCTTTTGTTACCTCTGTGTGGATGAGGAAGAAATGTTTCTTGGGCTTTCAGCTTTCTCCTGATACAGTAGCTAAAATTTGAAGTGCTTGTCTCTGTTATCTCTTCTTCCAGTGTTCTCTGCTTTTAGGAGTTCAAAAAACAATATTAACACCTTCTTGAAATAAATAAACTGAAAGAAGCTGTCTTAAAGGCGTTAAATTTGGATTAGGTGAGGAATGCACAGATTCACTTCTGATACCAGTTAAGATGTTCTTGACTTTTGTCTTTGACTTTTGTTCTAGACAATTAAAGCTCATCTCATTCCTTCTTGGATGGAGGTGGCTATGGTGAGCTATTACAGATAATGCTTGTATTTAACAAACAGAAATTTTGTGAAGGGACTTATACATTACTAGGAACATGTAAATTGTATCCTATTCTGATACCTTTTAATTCTCATGTAGACCTCCAAACTTCCCTATAATTTGTGGCCAGTAGGTAGATCCCAGAAAGAACTGAAAAACTTTACAATCACCACAACTTCACGTTGGCAAGAGAAAGTACATGCTGGTTTCTGCAGGCCCTTTAGGGTTACGGTGGTGCTTTCTCCTGGCTCTCCATTCTTTTCCAAGCTGGCATATGACATTCATGTTGGGCACAGTGTGTCTTCCATCTGTGTTTTTTTTTTTTCCTGAGGCAGGTGAAGGGAGCATTTCATATGCTGGAAGGATTCCATGTCTGGTGTGGAAAGCTTGCACTCTCCAAATCTCTATGACCACTTGAGTGCATCAAGAGCAGAGGGACATGTCCCATCTAAACCCAGCCAAACCAGGCAGCCTCGTGTCCCCTCTGCCAGCCCTGGGGTTAATTGTGTCCATCAGACAGGCCAGCAGTGCTGCTCTTTGAAGCTTTATGTACTGCTGACACAGTGCTTAACTGTAGCACCTCCATTGCCTCCTCCAGCCAGGCAATGATCATTCAGAAATATTTCTTTATTGAGGGCTTCTCCAGTGCTCCTCTTTTTGAGAAGCTATTTGCCAACCTCCACCAGCAGTGGGGATTTGCAGAGGATGCTCAGTGCAGGAGCTGTAGTCACCTGTAGTTGCCATTCTTTCTGTGTGTACTGTGTGTTATTTTCCCTTGGAAGCCTGATCAAAGCATTACTTTAGGGATGCAGTTCAAGGGAGAGAGGTAATTGGGGAAGCCATAGTCTTATCCCTTCTCCCTACAAAAAATGTGTGCAGCACGGGGGGCAGGAGGGCTGTACTAAGATGCTGACAGACACTGATGGGAGTTTGTGTTGCTCTGACTTTGTTGGCTCCTGCCTTTCACGTGTGACAATTTAGGGTTGATATCAGGTTCCCAGGTAATTGTCACTAATGTTGGCAGGACACTGCTGCCGCATAAAGCTTAAAATATAAACCATAATGTAAGCATTTTGAGTTTGTGTTTGTTCAGAAAGAGGCATAAGCAGGGAAAAGTCAACAGTTAACTACTGTTATGGGATGAACTAAAAGCAGTCACGCTGTTGAGCAACAGTAGCTCAAATCTTGCATGGGGTGAGTTGTAAGCAGATTCACCATTGCATGAATGTGCTTTGGCATAATTCAGTTATTTTGATCTGTTTCTAATTTATTGTCTTATTGTTTTCTTACAGGCAGGCAGAAGTCCTGAAGGCTGACATGACAGGTAACTGCCTTTTTTTATACAGTTGATCTAGCTTATTAATAATATTTGATTCCTGGTTTTGTTTTCCTTTTGTGTTCCTTTTTGCTTATCATTCTTAAGAATTTTCTGGAAAGTGACCTTAAGTTAAAGGCTTTTCATCTGTATATAAATATATAAATAAATTTTAACAACTGTGCCCCTTTTGCCTGCACCTAATACATATTTTTAAAGTTGGCTTTGGACGTTCTAAACATTTGGAGATGACGGTCATGTCTACTTCTCTCTGAGACTCCTGCCCAGACTAGCACAGGAACTGCTGTACTAGGGATTAGCCAGGATTTGGGTGGTTTTATGGAACCTGTATGAGGAAATGCTGATCTGAGTGCTACCACGTGTTGTGAAAGTGCAGCCCTAGATGCAGTGAAATGCTATGAGTTGTGATTTAAGCTATATCTATTAATGGGAAATGGAAATGGTTTCTATTAATGAATCAGCCCTGCAGTAAAAGTAGCTTCCCTCATGAACCTTTGCTCAGCTGTGCTTGCCAGCTTGGTATAGTGAAAGTAGCAGGCTGGTGCAGTCCCCATAGGAATATTAACACCAGCTGGACCCACCCAACCCAACAGGAGTGGCTCCACCATCAGCATCAAGGTGGTTTCCCTGGGGTGAGGCCTATCCTTTGTGCTCCTGCAGCCCCAGCCCAGGTGGTTGTAGAAGCCATGGGAAATTGGACTCTTAACTCAATAGCAGGGAGCAATGTTTGCACTCACCCTCTGGGATGGAGAGCAGATGACTACTGGAGTAGTTAGAGCATGGCAAGCACGCAGCAGTACTTGCCCACAGTGTTCTCTAAATACCAACAGCATATGTCCATGCACTGTCCTATTTAGCATCCCTCCATGTTGCAGATTTATTGTCTGCTAATTATTTTCAGGCTACACTGGAAGTTTTTCTAAATTCATCCAGTGGGAAGAAATTCTGCAGTTTAATATCTTACAGAGAGCCACGTCCTCCTGTTTCATTTTTGAACTTGCCAGCTGCTAACTTTGTTCACTTCTAGTTCTGGTTTTGTAAGAGACTCATCGGTTAATCAGTGAGCACTCAACCCTCAACCCCTCTGTAGTTCCTGTATTTCACTTTTCTGAGGAAACTGATAAAAGCAGGTGCTTGGTGGTGTGTATCTTACACTGAGCTCTATTCTTTCGTTTGTTAAATGAGTGAAAAATCAGATTAACCCCATAAATTTGTGTGTCTTTGGGTTTTTTTTTTCTTTCTTGTTGCTCAGATTCAAAGCTGGGTCCAGCAGAAGTCTGGACATCCAGACAGGCTCTACAGGACTTGTATCAAAAAATGCTAGTGACTGATTTGGAATACGCTTTAGACAAAAAAGTGGAGCAGGACCTGTAAGTACCTCACTGAATTTGTGTGTATGTATGTAATCTGGGCTGGGGGGCAAGAAACCTTGAGAGCTGCAGAAAAGCAATTGTGTCCTATGGAATGGTTGTCTTATTTCCTTTAAAATGAGAGCTGTGCTGTGGGTGAAACATGAGAATGCACTGCAGAACTGATAAAGAACATTCAGTAGGTTAGTGTTTTACCTCTGGCAGTTCAGAAGCAGCCATGTCATGCAGGAGTGGGTTTTGGAGAGCCAGATGGAGGTGGAGAAGCTGAGGAACACCAGTCTGCTCTGCTATCAGGGAAGGGCTGAAGTCTGCATTTCCCAGAAAGGAGGACATTGCCTGCTGTAATCACCTGGAGCTTTGGGCAAGGTCTAAGAGGAGCTGAGTAGATGCTGAAGAGTGCATTTTAAGCCCTGTGAGGTAGAGCTGGGCAGAGGGAGGAATAATCAGGGGAGAACTTAATGGATTGCTCATGACACCTTACAAATCAGGGGAAGATCCAGCTGGGTTTTCTCCATGCCATGAATCCATTCCCTGTTATTTAAGGTGCAGACATGGATTGTAATAAGTTCAGTCAATAGAAGCATGTGGTTCTTTCAGCATTGAGGGAAGCCAGATGAGTAGGCTGGCTGAGTTCTCTCCATGCTTCCAGTTACTGAATGATTTTTAATGCTCATTTCTGTACCCCACATCTTGTTTTAGAGAGGGGTTTCTATGCAGCCTAAAACAGAACAATTGCAAGCAAATATTAATGATGTTAGTGTTAGCCATATATATATATATATGTATACACACACACACATATATGTTAGCTATATATATCTGTCAGGATCTGTTTCCCTAGATATCAGAGGCGAGGAAAGGTGATTTTTCCATATTTAACATTTGTTCTCATCTGAATGTTGCCTGAATTTGAATATTCTTCATGTCTGATGCTATGTAATTAAACAGTTCTTTCCTGTTGCTTATGCCATCTGCATAAGACACTTCCAAAGTAAAAAGATAAATGCCTCTTTTATTTTCAGTTGGAATCATGCCTTTAAAAATCAGATCACAACACTCCAGGGTCAGGCGAAAAACAGAGCAAATCCGAATCGGAGCGAAGTTCAGGCGAACCTTTCTCTGTTTTTAGAGGCAGCTAGTGGCTTCTACACACAGGTGAGTTACACAAAGTAGAGGATGGGTGGAGGATCAGTTTTAGGTGGGTAAAATCTGTTCTTTGCCCTTATCTTAGGAAACTGCTGCTGTAATGGATTGAGCAGTGCACCTTGCTAACTGTGGTGCTCTCAGCAGGAGATGTGTGCAGAGCTGGTGATGGGCTTTCTTTTGATCAGTCTTGAGCTGATACTTTTGTGCATCTGGTAGTAGTTTTGGTGCAACTTAGGTTCCTTTCTAATAGAATCTCTTTAAAGTCTAAACCCCACTGCTTTGGGTAAGGTCAAAGGTCTGTTTCTTACTGTGCTCTGCTGTGACTGCTCAGAGCAATCATAAAACATTAGGAAAGGGTAGAATGATACTTCTTTGCACTGTCTCTTTCCTTCTCACTGTGAATCTGTTGCTTTCTTGACTTACTGTCTGTGTGAATCCTCTATTAGAAGGCGTAGCCTTCACTGGCTCTCCAGTCCCTTTTAAAGCCATTTGCTCTGTCTCTGCAGTGACCTATGGTGAGGAATTTTGTCTTTTAATTGTAATGTCTTACAGAAATGATGACACAAAAAACCTCAAGCCTAGTTGATGATTTCATTGTACTCTTAGTTCTTTTTTTCTGCCGTCTCTCTAAAAATTCCCATTTGGCTTCTCATTCCTGAGTATGTGTTTGTGGGCCACTGCCTTCATTCCTTTTCATTTGCTGTATAGTGAACGATAAACAAGGATAATCAGTTTGTTCTTGGTTTAAGTTAATCAGGAACAGAAATATGTGCAGAAAACGCAGATGCACAGGATGTGTGTGGTGGCCTAATGATTTTGTCCCTTCCTTGTGACTCCTAACACCGATTATGAGCATTGAGGTGAAAGTCTTTATTTTCTACAACAATTGGAACAATTACTTCACTTCTAGGAACTTGTCTTCCTCTAAAGCAAAACTGTATTGTTCAGTGCTCTTGGACTAAGAATCTTTTGCAAGGTTTTCACTTAATTGCCAAAGGAGTGAGATTCCTATTCATATACTTCTTACTGACATATTTTTGCCTACACTGTATTAGATTTCATTAGGTTTCAGCTTTAAATTATGGAGAATAAGAGCCAGTGTATGATGATGTCCTTAGTAAAGATAACTTCCCTTTCTTTCCTATTTTCCCCTCATTTGGTGTCTCCTTCAACAACATTGCAGTTGCTGAATCCTCTCTGTGTTCGGAGTAAACTTTGTCTTAAGCTTACAGCACTCAACAGTGGGTTATTTGTACTGTATCATTTCCTAGTTGGATTTCAGACATCTGCAATGGCAACTCCAGGCTACCCTTGTGGCTGCCCCTTTTTTCCCTTCAGCACTGTTTTTTTGTAAAGCTACTTGTTGGAAGCAGCCGGTTTGACAGGCTGTCATGATTGCCAAGGGCATTCTACCATCTACACTATTTGTCTTGCAAAAGCCTTGTTCTTTCCTGAAGTGGATCAGGGAATTTTACTCTTTCTGAATTGATACTACAGACTGGGTTATCCTTCTCAGTTTGCTGTGATGTTAATCGCATTTTCATCGTTAAGCCTTGGCTCAGCCAACATACCTGTTCTCCGGGTGTGAGGCTTCTGCAAGTGACATCTTTGAGCAAGAGCATGAATTTTCTTAATTTGGCGTCTTTGAGGATGTCAAGTTGCTCTCTTTTATCCAGGTTTCATCTGTGAGATCTCTCTTGTTTAGGGATTCTTGTTTACTGTATAAAGACAGACCCAAAGGGGAGTGAGGTGTAACACAAACCTCTTTCTGCAGCAAGCAAAAGCATCGTGTCACATCTTGCTTACAGAGTGTGTGTCTCTGTCAGCTATGGGCTTTCTCTGTGCCATTATCTGGAAGTGCAGCCCTCCTGCAGGTTGGAGACTGAGCATATTCCCAGCTGGGAGAAAGTCTGTCACTTCTTACTTGCATTTTTTACCCTAGAACTCAGTCCAATGAACACTCACCACTCCCTGCTTGCCATTACTTTGCAGACTATTTGCTGGAGTCCGTTAGGAAAACTTCAAAAGCACTAATTAGAATGGCAGAGTTGAGGTTTTCTTTCAATCAGCTTTTGAAATATTTGATCAAGTAGCTGATGCCTTGTTCCTTGAAAGAGTTTCATTGTTGGCTTACCACAAATATTTACTGATACTTCAGTCACTGAACTGTTAGTATTGCCTTGCATTGCTTACAAACTTGGTTATGTTCCAGCTTCTTTCCAAAGTTTAAGTTGGAATAGTGTGGTTTCTTATGTTGGAACAAGCTGCTTTGGAGGGTGAGGGATGTTACTTTCTGTTCTTTTCAGAGAACAGTGTCACTTCATCAAGGTATAAAACTCACTGTGTTCCTCTTGAGTGTCCTACTGAAAAAACAAGCCAAACAAAGAGACAAAGCAAAAGCATAAAACCCAGCAATATCTGTAGACCTCCCATAGTCAATCTCCACTGATAAATCCTTGGTGATTTAAATATCATGAGGATTGAGTTGCTTATTGGCTTGGGATGCAGAGCTTTTTGTTATTGGCAGGTGAACACAGTGGACACAATGGAGAATGTATTTTAATAAAGTCTCACTTTCAGTAACTTGAACTTGTTCACCTCAAATATGTTTGGCTCATCTGTGGTGAGCACACCTCCAAGTGGTGCTCTGTTAGTTTTGTGACTTGTTTTGATGCCTTTCCAATGCCTGTCTCGAGGTGCTACTGACCCAGCCCCGTTTTTGCAGTTACTACAGGAATTGTGCACAGTTTTTAACGTAGACCTGCCGTGCCGTGTGAAGTCTTCCCAGCTGGGGATCATTAGCAATAAACAGACGCACACCAGCGCCATTGTGAAGCCACAGTCCAGCTCCTGCTCCTACATCTGCCAGCACTGCCTTGTCCACCTGGGAGATATTGGTGAGTTTCAGAAAGAAGAGGCTGGGACGTGGAGTTGTCTGTGTTCAGCTTCCAGAGAGGGATCTGCATGTATCATGGCAACTGCTGGAGCAAGAGTGCTCCACTTTAGTAGCTAGTTGCTGATTGTGCTCATGGTGATTGCTGCAGGGAGAAAGACCTGGAAAGAAACTCTGTTCAGACTTACCTAGTGTGTGTTACACATTAACACACGGATACAGTTAGTCACTGGCTTTCTAGTGATCTGTTAGAGTCTGTCTCCTGGCACTCTAACCATGTTCTAGCTGGCAGGCACAGGGAAGTGCTGAAACTGGTAACTATTACAAAAGCTTGTTGCAGCAGGCTAGCACACTTCTCAATTCCGGAGCACTAAGATCTTAAGTACAAGGGTACCAGTTAGAAATCCAGTCTTTCATAAATGGGGTTTCTTTTTACATTAAGTTCAACAGGTTTATTTCTTTCTTCATTTCAGTGAAACTTTGTATTGTAGCAAGTTCTCTTTTCACACGAATCTGCCACTCCTTTTTGAACAACCTAAAAATAGATCTAGTTGGTGATTGTGCAAAGGTCATAAAATATTATGAAAAATATTCTAGCTCTCAGTATGTGGTGTTCTTGGCACTGTTGTCCATAAGACAGTCTTGGGTCTGAGGCAAAACACCCACTTCAGAATTGAATGTGTCAAATCTTGGTGCGGTTAGGTGTAATTGCATGTTCTTCTGGTTCTTACTTCTGAAACAGTAGTCACATGCTCATCAGGTAAGTTGCATTTTGTGAAAGTAACTGCAAGGGAGTGGAATTCTGGGCCTCAACTTTGGTTTTTTTTTTTCTCTTTTCTTAGCTCGCTATAGGAATCAGACCAGCCAGGCAGAGTCTTACTATAGACATGCAGCTCAGCTTGTCCCTTCTAATGGTGAGTACCTTTTCAGTTCATAATTCCAAAGCAAGATTTGGGGTATTGTTTTCTTCTATGGCAGTTGAAAGCCTGGGCTTTTATATAAATATCCCTCTCCAAATTCTCTGCACAACCATACAATAAAGCTTCACACGTCAGTCAGTCATTTAGATAATGGTTATTTGCATGCTGTGTCACTTCCTTTTTGTACAGATTTTGTAGCAAGCAAGGTAATACACAGCTTTACTCCAAGGCTTCACTACTATATATATAACTATATATGTATACAATTATACTCTGTTACATTCATATGTTATAAAGTTCAGTTAATGAAAACTTGCTTTACACCAGCATTGTTTTTTTCTTTTATTGTTAATTCCCATACCAATTTATAAAGTTTAGTAACTAAAATTGGATTTTTCAAGTTGCTGATGGGAGTTAATGTATTTTTAAATTCAGGGATCTAGCTTTTTAGCAGTTGTGTTCCGGTGGCCCAAAATGTAGGGATGGTGACAGAAGGATAAGTCACTTTTGAGCTGGGCTGCTGAAACCAGTAATTCAACTTTTTAACCAGTTGCATTCTAACTGAACAAAACAAAAATTCAATCCCCTGAAACAAACAAGCAAACAAAATCAAACAGAGACCTCCATACCCAATCCTTCTCCATCCAAAGTAAAAAAAAAAAAAACAACAAAAAAAAAAAGTAACAAGACAGACAAACAAACAAAAAGCCACAACCAAACAAAAACAAACAAAAAAGACCAAAACACAAAAAAAACCCCATACAGCTGATGCACCACAAATTTAGAAGCTTAGAAGCTTTTTCACTGAAGCGGTACCCCGATCCCAGGCTGGAGTGAAAGGGTCTGCAGATGGATCTGAGCCTTGTCTGTTGAAGAACTGAGGACTGTATGCTCCCTTTCCAAGTGACCACATGGACTCTGAAATCTAGCATGTTTCCCCCCAGGACAACTTGTCTTTTTCTCCCTTAGGTCAGCCTTATAATCAGTTGGCTATCCTAGCTTCCTCCAAAGGAGACCACTTGACCACAATTTTCTACTACTGCAGAAGCATTGCTGTGAAGTTTCCTTTCCCAGCTGCCTCCACTAACCTACAAAAAGCACTTTCTAAAGCACTGGAAAGGTGAGACTAAGGGTAAATGATTGCCACTCAGATAAGTTGGAAGATATTTCTTCTAAAAGTACCTGCCTTGCTAGAAGTTACTTGTATTAGGCAGTGGAAACAGAAATCCCTCAATTCTTGTCTAGTCAGAGCATCCTTACAGGTGTATGGAGCAAAGAATAGTTTGTGATGCTCCTGACTGTGATTAGTCAATGCAGGAAATAAGCATATTGTGCCAACATGAAAAGTAGCTTTGTGTGGACATTCCTCCCTCATTTTGGAGTAATTCTGTTGTGTTATGTGCAGCTGTGTGTAATTCCAAAGACTGAATCAGGTGTTTCTATTCTAAATGCAGTCGTGATGAGGTGAAGACTCGATGGAGCGTGTCTGATTTCATCAAGGCATTTATTAAATTTCATGGCCATGTGTACCTGAGCAAGAGCTTGGAGAAGCTGAACCCTCTTCGAGAAAAGCTGGAAGAGCAGTTCAAGGTTAGTTCTAACAACATATTAATTAGTATATTGAGGAGAATAATTTTAGTAGCTGAGTTCTGGAATTACAGTCCAGTAATCATTCTTTCACATGATAAAACACAGGAAGCTCAAGTAGCCAGTTAGGGAAGGTTTGCATTGCAGTTCATATTAGATAGTTCTGATAACTTCTGCCAAGATTAGGGATTTTTTTTCCCATTTGACACCTGATCCATTGTTGGTGGAGATATAGGAGAAATCAGTGACCACTGTTGATTCTCTGCCCTGTAACTTGGATGATTCTTGGATAGCTGTGAAAAGGACTTGGTTCATCTGTGAAGTCTTGGCTTGGTGGCCTGAGGAATTTTGAGAGCTTCATTTTTTGGATGGCTTTCATTCACTCCCAGTGGTTATTAAGACTGCCTTTAATCTGCCTCAGAAAATTTGCCTCTCCTGTCAACAGTTTGCCCTTGAAAAGTGTCCCATACAACCTTACTTTGTGCAGCCTAGAACTATGCAGAGCACATTTTCTATGGAAAATCCAGGACTCCCATTGGTTACATACCCAGCTCATTATGTTGGACAATACAGCGGAGATCAAAACAAAAGAATTTTTTAAGGTATTTATGCAAAGTAGTAGTTTCAGAGAGGGCATAGTGTTAACTGGTAAATGCCTTTTGGAAATTTCTCTGCTTCAGCTTCTTAATTTGTGGAAAAGAAACAGGGAGGATGCATATGCTCAGTGGAGCAGTGGATGCTTTTCAAAAGTAGGAAAGGGGAATGTGGTCTGAGCAATAGAAAAAATCACAAATGTTCTTTACAGTGTCCTTTTACACTTTTTTGTCTTGAATTGTGCTGCTACAGTTAGGTTCACTCTGTCTTTAAAATAAATCTTAAAAACCACAGAACTTGCTATGAATTAACTTTTAATGTGGGCTGCTCCAATGCAGGCAGTTTATGTTGTTTCAAAAGGGAATAATTATATCTCTCTTTCCATGTGTGGTGCTGGCTGTTGAACAAGTACTGGTTTTTTCACAGTGCTTATAATCAATAATTATGAGTGTTGCTCAGGCATGTGGAGCAGTCTTCATTCTCTGGACTGATCCAGAGTGTTGAAACAGCTAATTGAGCCCTGCTTTGTTGCTTATATTGCCTTTTTTTGTTTATATTATGCAACATAAGGCCTAATTTATCAGAGAGCATCTCTTCTGGCTTCAACAAGTCGAATGTGGATGTGAAGTTGGCTGTATGGTAGTGAATATGGTTTAACTTTGTGGCTCATTTTAACTGTGAGGAGAGCAGTTGCAGGGTTGGGAGCATTCAGTCAGGGCCTGGGTGCTGCTGCTGGCAGCTCTGTCAGTCTCAGTTGTCAGCTGTACAGTGCTTCATGCCCTAAATGAGAGAGTCAAGGGTGAACATGTAGGTTAAACCTTTTCCTGATGCTTACACTAGTTAATCCACCTGATGCCCTGGTTGTTGTGTCTGAAGATATGTTTGCTCCTTTTTTTTTTTTCCCCCACAAAAAGCCCTGAAGTCTCTTTTCCTGTCCTGAGAAAGGTGTCTTTTCTAGCATAGTTACTGAAAGACATTTGTAAATAGCTCTCAATATTTTAGTCTGCCGAGGCATACTGTGACCCATGAAGTCAGGTGTGGAATTAGTCTTTAATGCATAACTATGCAGTAGTTAAATTTTCCTAGGGTGTTTTTTTAAAATATCACATTCTCCATGCTGGTTCCTTGAAAGGCAGACAAACCCAATGGATCTACGGGCCTTTGCAGGGCTGTCAGTGCACATTTGAAGTTGCACTTGCTCTGGAAGAGAACCATATGCAAAGGGGATGTTGATTTGTTGTGTGTCTGAGATGATGTACAAGCAAAAACCTTGTGCTTAACAGTGGAGTCTTCCTGGGAAGCCCAGTGCTGTGCTACAAGGGATGACCTGAAAATAAATCCAGATTGAATGTTGCCTAAGGGCAGAAACATTAGTCAAGCAGTAAAGGAGCAGCTACCAGTCCTTTCAAGCATGTGTTTTGCCATCTGAAAATACATACACCCTGTGTCTTTGTTGCAGAGGTTGTTGTTCCAGAAGGCCTTCAACTCTCAGCAGTTAGTCCATATTACTGTGATCAACCTGTTCCAACTGCACCACTTGCGAGACTTCAGCAACGAAACAGAGCAGCACAGCTACAGCCAGGATGAGCAGCTCTGCTGGACACAGCTCCTGGCTCTCTTCAGTAAGTGTGGGAGCTAATTGATTTTTGTAGTTCTCTTGATTTTAATGTGGAATCCATTAGTAATTTCCTGTCAGGATTTAGCTTAATGGCTCTGTGAGGTAAGTGCTGAGAATAGACATTAGGGAGAAAGTTGTGAGAGATGATGGCCACACAGGATCGTTTATGTCAGCTGACTAACACTGGATTTCTGTGTCCAGACTTACTCTGTTTGAAGCTTTACAGTATTCTGCATCATTTTCCTGGTTCTGAAAGAACATTTTAACTTGGGTGCAAAACTGGATTCAGCTTGGCAGTGAGCAGTACTCCTCTTTGGGGCCTGCTCCCCAGTTGGCTGCATACAGTTGGAGTTGCTTTGAATGGAACTGGTTCTGATTCAACAGGACTGAAGTTGAAATTGAGTCAACCAGGACCTCAGCTACTTCTTTGCCTTTGGTAATATCAAACAGGTGATAAGTGAGAGTGCAGAGCATTTTAAATTCTAGCTACATAACACTGATTTGCTTAACCTGATTGAGCCTGATGTCAGCTTGGCCTTGTTTGTCAACACCTAAATTTCTGAATTCTGAATAGCTGGATTTCTCCAAATTCCAGCCTGGAGTTGATTCTGAAGGCACCATGGTCACATTGGTGTGGTTACTCTTTCTCAGCTTCTGTGCCCTAAGGGGTCTGGGCTGAGTGCCTGCCTGCAGAGCTCCAGTGCATTTGTGTGCCTGCTGGTTGAAGTGAATAAAGTGCAGGTAGGTAGTTGAGTTAATAAGTTCTAATAAATAGGTGAGTGACTGTTTTTGCACTGGGCTTGGCTCACACAATTTTTTTAACTTTATGAAAATGACTTGCCATGACAGTTGAAGAGATACAAACATAAAGATTTAGCTGCATAGTAGAAAACTATTAAAAAACTCTGTGTTGTGATCTGTTGGTGGATAGTTTAAGATGAGATAACTGGGCTGCCTTGTTCTAAAGAACTAGCTCTTAGAATAGGGGATCATGGGGTGGATATGTTTGGTTAGTTTATTTGGTCAACTTTGAAGTGTCATTCCCACATCATGGAGCTTTTTCTTCTGCTTTTTCCTCTTACTCTGTTTCTAGTGTCATTTCTTGGAGTTCTGTGCAAGTGTCCTTTGCAAAACGACTACCAGGAGGACTCTGGGGCTGCATATCCTCTTCCAGCTGTGAAGGTTTCGATGGACTGGCTGAAACTTAGGCCCAGTGTTTTCCAGGAGGCAGTGGTTGATGAAAGACGGTAGTGAGTGTTAATCTTTCTCTTGTTACATTTTGTGGCATGAAGGTCCTGATTACTGTTGATGCACAAATAAGCCATGGGAAAAGTGATCATACAACTTACCATTACAGACACCAAAATTATAGAAAGTGTATGTGCTAAGAAGTTCATAAAGCAAAACATGAGACTTGTTGCTTACATGAGCAAATTGACTCTTTTAATTGTCTTTAGGTTTGCTCTAAGTTTTTTACAATCAGAGGGATCTATTTTATAATGTCCATCTTGAGCATAACCACTGAGTGTTCTTGTAGTCTTATCTAGTATAGTGATTTCTCAGATTACTGGAGGAAGTGGCTGGAGAATACTTGCCTTAATTTCATGCACTAAACCATCACTTGAGCAGTGCTGGAATGTAGTCATCTAGGAATTAAATTCAATTTAGTAGAGAGTCTCTTGAAATGTCAATACAGGCATAACTGTTCTGGACTATTGCTCTGATTTTTCAGTTTTGCAACTAATCTCATAAATTAAGGCTTAAATTGCTCAAAACTCACTTTTTTTTTTTGTTTTTTGTTTACATAGTCTGTTAACTTTTCATGAATTACTGTGATTCAGTAAAGTGTTTCTGTAAGGTGATTCTTAGGATCAAAGTGACTATTACTGGTGCAGCTGGATGTTAGTCCTAAGATGGGCACTCCAAGGAAAGCAGTGTGATGCATGGGGAACAGGGGTACCTGTAATTTTGGTTTGTTAAATAAGAAACAAAAATCCCCATGGAGTTTTGGGAGCTTAAACCACAGAATTCCTAAAGGCAAGATTAAGGAAAAGAGTTCAGATATGGTTTTAAAATTATGATAACTATTGCCATTTGCACATTCTGAAGGAAGACTTATGCCTGTATTTTAATAGGCAGGATACCTACTTGATATCAAGTAGTCCCTGCAGAAAGGACATGCAGGTAGTAATTCATGGAGTAAATGGCTTTAAGCTGAAAGAGGGTAGATTTAGATTGGTTAGAAATAAATCCTTCCTTGTGAGGGCACTGAGGCCCTGGCCCAGCTTACCTAGTGAAGCTGTGGCTGCCCCATCCCTGGAAGTGTCCAAAGCCAGCTTGGACAGGGCTTGGAGCAGCCTTGGGGTAGTGGAAGGTGTCCCTGCCCATGGCACAGGGTGGGAGATCCCTTTCAGCCCAAACCATTTTGGGATTTTCTGAAGGAACCCATTTTCTGGACAAGATATTATTGACTTGACTTGCCTCATTGAAGACCTCTGAGGTGTTTTTTCCTTCTTTTCTTCCTTGTCAGTCATGGGAAGGAGCTGTTGCTGAGTGTAGTGTAGAGAATAATGAAGATCATGCTGTCTGTTCCTGCAGCCATGTGGGAAAGCAGCTGAGGGTGCACAGTGCTGTTGGGGGCATGGTGCATTCTCCAGGCCATGTGGTGGATGATGGCTGAAAGCCTTGCTGAGGACACATTCATTTCTCCTACACTGAGCACAGTGGGCATCTTGAAATAGTTTTCTGTTGTTTCCATGGTGCCCGTTAGTAAAGCAGAAGGATTTTTGGACTTCTGGGTGGGAGCTTTTAGCAAACAGGAGCAAGCAGCCTGGTGGTAACAGTTAAATGTTAACCACCTATGCAGTGATCAGTGTGATTTTAAAATTGTTTGCTCCAGGGCCTTTGGGAAGAATTTCCAGTCATTGCTTGTTACTGGTATTATGAGGGCAAGGCAGGGTACTGCAAGTTCACCTCTAGTTTAATGATCTTTCTTGGTGCAACCCTTATCTAGAGTCTCTTCCCTTGGTGGTAAATGCTCCAGCACTACAGTACAGTGTTGTTCAGGGAACAGAAGTACTCCTGCACAGCTGTGTCTTGATAAATTCTCTTGCTGCCTAAACTGATTCATTGACTGTGCCTTGAGGGCCATCAGCTTTGGACTGCAAAGCATGAATTGCAGACAGGTGCTCGCAGCACTTGCTCATGCTCTAGGTCTGGTTAAATTCACAACAGACTCTCTGACCTGCTGGATAATGAACACTGTGCTGTGAGAGCCTGGCTTCCTTGGGAACTTTAGGTTGACTTTTTAGCAATAGTATTTTTTTCAAGAAAGTGATCTTTTCACCGACACTTTGTGAGAAACTTTTCTTGGGAATCAGAGGATTAATGTAAACTGTGATGGTAACAGCATTCAGTGTTTTTTTTAGTAAAGCAAACACATCCCATGTTTCGCAGTTTTCACTTAGGGTTTGCCTTTTTTCTAATTTTTAGCATATGGCCCTGGCTGATCTCTCTTCTAAATAGTTTCCAGCCTCACGAAGAAGATCTATCCAGTAATAATGGTAAGGACACTTGTAGTCTGTGCTGTAAAAATCTGGGGGAAAAAATGTTTCTCCTGCTCATGTGGGGAATTACAGTTGAAGAGCAAATAAGAAAGCAAGTTGTCTTCTTGTATTAGTTCATGTGAATACTTTGCAGATGCTTTTTCTTGTTCTGAGCAGACTGCTCTGCTTTATCCTTCCTGAATTCTTCAGATTGTGGGGTGGACCAGTTAATAGGAGGCTTTACTATATATAGAGACCATGCTGGGGTATCTGCTGTGATACTATGCTCAGTGCTCTCCTCATGCTGTTTACTGTCTGTTTGTCAGCAACCCCCCTTCCAGAAGAATTTGAGTTGCAAGGATTCCTGGCTCTGAGACCCTCGTTCAGGTGGGTGACAGCTGAAGGATCTTGCACCCTTGCTGATGTCAAAACTTCTACAGACATTGGCCTGTTCCCTGCAGTATTTTATTTATGTATGTTTACTGCTATATAGATTGATGTTGGTCTCTTCAAAACAATTGCAGTGGATGGTGTAGCCCTAAGAAATTCTTGAGGTTATAATACTGCTCATGACTCCACTGAACCTCTTTAATGTAGATGAGAATTACATGTGTAAATCAGACATCTCTTAACAGCCATGTTTTGAATAATACCTGGTGAAAATTCACTGCTTTTAATAGAGCAATGCTGACACATTGTATTTCTAGAAAAATAGGATATTGCAGAGGGTGATTGTGTAATTAATATCCCCTCTTCTGTGTCAATACTAGGAACTTGGATTTTTCCAAAGGCCACCAGGCGATTACAGGGGATAAAGAAGGGCAGCAACGTCGGATACGGCAACAGCGCCTGATCTTCACAGGCAAATGGATTGCTGATAACCAGCCAAGGTAATTGCAAGTTCTTTGTGTTTCCCATGCTACTGGAAGCTGAGGTGACACAAGTGCCAGTGTGGAACGTTATTTTTCCCTCTGTCCGACACATCAGTTAGCTGTAATGTGGGCACAAGATGCTGACAGCACTGATAATATGTTCTGTGGGTCAGCATGCTGCTCCTTCACAGACTGATTATGATAAGTAATGTAGTTTATGTACTTGCTTTTTAATTCCTTCCTGTCTTTTTCAGGTTGATTCAATGTGAAAATGAGGTAGGAAAGCTCTTGTTTGTGACAGAAATCCCGGAGCTCTTACTGGAAGACCCTAGTGAAGCCAAAGAGAGTCTCGCCTTGCAGGAGACATCCATGGCAGAGCCACTGTGTGCTGATGGGAGCCCTGGACTCAAATCAGTGCTGTCCTCTGGCAGAAGCCTGAGCAACAGCTGCGATGCAGGAGAAAAGCCAATGGTCACCTTCAAAGAGAATATCAAGCCCCGGGAGATGAACAGAGAACAAGGGCGCATCTACCCCCCAAAGGACATAGCGAGGGAGAGACGGGACTTTAGCAAAGGAATAGTAGCAAATAAGAATGATGGGAAGAAGGATAACAATAAAAGAAAGAACGAGACCAAGAAATGTGGCTTGGATAAGATGCAGGAAGCAGGAAAGCAGAATGTGGCAGTTCAGGTAAGCCTTTAGCTCAGAGGGATACTGTGCCTGAGACAGTGCCGTGTTGTGTCAGGGCAGTCACTGCTTGTGTATAATATGGTAGAACTGAGGTCTTGCTGTGGGCCCTGCAGCTGCAGCTAATGCTCAATAATATAAAATATTTCTACCTCAAAGACCAGGTGAGGGTGATTTTAGCATCTCTTTGCTTTTCCTTAATGCTATCCCAAAAAGAGAGAGAGTGGAGAAAAAAGAGTGCGATGAGAGGTGCTATAACTATCCAAAAAACAGATTTCTACCCATTCCACAAATTATTTAGGCCACCAAGGCAGTTCATGTGGCCAGCTCATAGTCATGCTCTTGCCATTCTGGAATCTGTTGTGGAGGAACTGAGTACTCTGCATTTTCACTGCAGTTGACTGGTGCACATTCAACAAACTGAGCATGTCACAAAAGCACCAAATTGTATATATGGGGAGTAAGATCCTCTCTAGGGTGGGTGCAATCAGGTGTCTTCTGTCAAAGTAAGGAAAGCCACTGTGCTCTTAAACCGTCAGTCTGTGCTCAGGCACTTGCTTAAAATGGTTTGTTTTCACATCAGCTACTCTTTTACCAGTTACATTTTTTTGGGGCACGCCCTTTTATCTATTTCTTTGAGCATTACATATGAAATATATCAAGTAAACAGTGAATTTGGTGGTCTTCATTCCACTATGTCATAGTAAATAAGAGGGTAGAGAGTGTCAGGGCTGATCTGATCTGTATCTGGACAATTTGGCTGTATCTCAGTCATTCCCTGATAATGACTGGAGCCATGCAATGATAGTGATGGAGATTTCTGTTATTTCCCTAGAGAAACTGTGTTAGTTCTTCACCGTTCTTGCAAGTGGAAGTTATTTCCTGATGCACTTTATGTCCCTTGCCAGCCCATTACTGCTGCCCAGGACACGTGTGCAGAATAACTCTTCCTCTGTGCAGCTGCTCCAAAGGCCTGTGCAATTGAGGTCTTTTCCCCAGACTAGACAAACCATTTCTTTCAGTTTTTCCAGCTTGTGTTGATTAGGAGCCTTGGATTATTCTCCTTGTTTTCCTCCTGATGATTTGCTGTTAAACATCGTGGTTATGAAATGGAATGTCTGAACTGGCAGTATTATTCAGTTGGTTTTGCAGGGGAGCTATACCTTGGGGTATAAAGGATTTCTGTAAAGGCTACAGAAACCAGGGGACAATCATCATTGAGTTGTGGAACACGATTCTGGTGTCTGAAAACCAGCATAGGTGTATTAGAATAGCAAGTTTCTTAGTTATTTGTCAAATGCATCTGGATGTCATTGCAGGTCTGAGCATTAACTCCCAGTTTTGATCTTTGTGCCCCTGTCATGCAAAATAAGGACTTCAGGTGGATAAAAACCTACCAGATCTGAGGACTATGTTGACTTTCTGGATAGGGATGATAGTTTATTTATCAGAAATTTGCTTGATTTAGTTTTAAGGATACACCAAACCCAGCTGTAACGCCATCTGCTCTGATGTTGTTTGTTACTGTTTGTCTCTTCTTTAATAGAAATTAATTTTGGATTTTTAGCTCCATCAGCTGTATTTATGGCAACAAGTCCAGTGAAATGCCTTTTGTTTTGTATAATTTGGTGGATTTGATTACCTAGACCTGCTCCAGAACAGAGAGAGGGCTTGCTTGTTTCCACCCACACTGAGAAACCAGTGTAGGTTTCATACCAGTTGGTGAACTGTTTGTGTTCTGCTTTGGCACTCCTGGCAATTTCATGCTTTATTTCCTACATAGTTCATTGCCTTCAAAAGCTTAAATGCTGCAGTTCCTACTTGGCAAAAATGTGAAGAATGTGGTACAGAAGTGATCAGTCTTGCTTTGCAAATACATGGGAGACTTGCATGCTCAGGCAGGATGTGATCTGGGTTGAATCTCTGCTCTCTAGGGAAGGTAGTTTTAGGAGCCAAGGAAGTTCAGTGCATACTAACTCCAAGTGTAGCATACTCTTAAGAGGTCCCTGTGATAAAATGGTGCTTCTCTCAAGCACTGTGTAAGAACACTTGGGCTGTTGTGGAGGTAAATATTTGGTAGCATTGGCACTTCTAAGGTGATATAAAATAGAAGCAAGGAAGGAACTGAAATTTGTCTTGATTAATCAATTTTAGTGATTTAGGTTTTTATAAAGTTAACTGTTAATCATGCAGGGGACCTTTTGGAAGCCATCCTCTGGAAATGAGTTATAACATACTGGAGTTTTTGATGGATAGAGCTCGAGTTTTAAAAGGCTATAGCAGGAAGAATGTCTTTGAGTTCTCCAGCATTTCTGTAAAAGAATGCATAGTGCTTGATATGGGTTATGAAAATATTTGGCTTATTGTGGAGGGAAAAGGGACAGCACAATATAAGTTAAATATGCTGAATGTACTGGAGGATGAAGAGATGTGGCATGAGCAAGAGCCTGCATTGTTCATGGTATTTAGCATCAGCCAGAACCTTGAGGTGGAGTTCCCTCCAGACGTTTTCTAGTGGGAAATGAAAAATTCACCCAAACCTTCCAATTATACAAATGCAGAAAGAACCCTACACTCCCATTATTTCTAAATGGGGAAATTCAATTTGAAAAAGAACTTAAGAAAGGATTTGAATGCATCTATCCCTTTACTACTGTAATTTGGCAGAAAACAACTGTCCTGTAACTCCTTTCAACTGAGCAGCACTAAATGTCTAAATAAACCCCACACAGATATGATGTGGGGATTATTGTTATAGTTTGGTTTGGATTTTTTTTAATTTGATCCCTGATATACAACCCTTTCTTTCACTCACCTTTGAGGCTTGGTGTCAGGTCTGCTCCTGGGCCCTTTCTGTATTTCCCGGGTTCCTTGCTTGCTGTCTTTTTCCTGCCTGCTCCATCTTGCATTCCAGGCAGTTCTGCCGAGCTGAACAGAAAGGGAAAGTAGTCTTCCCCTCTGTCTTCCTCCCCAGGAAGACCCAGACCACAGGAGACTCAGAATAAGGTAAACATTACATTACATTCTTCTCTCTGCCTTTAACTGGTGCAGCTCTTTTAACAGAACACCCCGCAGTTACACAGTAAAATGAGGTGAAGCACTTCTGCTGTTTGTCTTGTATGCTCTGGGTCCAGAGAATTCCATAGTGTGGAGGAGTTTGTGCATATACATCACTGTATGGATTAGGCTGAGAGAACTCCCCAGAAAGAATGTGTCAGTGTTTGTTTTTAAGGTTCTGCAGGTAAGTAGCATGACTTAGGTTGAAGAAGTGCCCTAGGAGAAGCATAGTAGCATCTGCACTTTCTGTTTTTAAACACTGCAGGTGAGCAGCGTGGTAAGTTCCTTCGATGGTGTGAGATACTATGTCTGCTTCTCACTATTATGCTAGGGAAGGAGCCTCTTGCATCTTCTGAGTAAATATCCTTGAGTGCTTTTGTGAGATGAGAAGTGCCTGAGGACATGCAGGGTAATCTCCTTGAGGTCAGTGAGGAGGGCTCTGTGTTCCAGACTTCTCTCAGTTACTTAGGGAAAAGAAAATAATCACTCAGACAATCTGAGAGTTTAATTTTTGGCTTGAGACATGATGTGGTTCATGTGAAAGTTTAGGAAAAGTGATATAATTTCTTCATACTTTCTTTTGCATCAGGTGAAATCCCAGACAGAGATGAGGAAGACTCCGGTGTCTGAAGCCAGGAAAACACCTGTAACTCAGACTCCAAGTCAGGCCAGCAGTTCCCAGTTCATCCCTATTCATCACCCAGGAGCCTTCCCTCCCCTTCCTAGCCGACCAGGTAATTTGCATTATTCTTTTGAAGTGTCATTTATTATTGACTGAAGAAAATCCTGTAATGGTGGCTGGTACAGCCTCTGGAAGGTAGGGACTCTGTTAATGAACATGGATTTTCCTGCTGAACATCTTATCAAGTAATAAAAAGGGTCATAGCAGAACTGAAACGAGATAAATACAATTCCTTATGCTTTGGAATTGAGGTTTGTCATGAAATCTGCCACTTACTTTCTGGTTTAATGGGTGTGAGATCAAGGAACTTCACGGTAGGCTCTTCCTGTAGTTAGTCTGAACATGACAAAACTTTCTGCTAGCACTGCTTCTGAAGCATTCCCTGTACTTCAGACTCCATTGCTGAAAAGGATCAATCACACTGCTTGCTTTAAAACTCACTCTCTTTTGTGCTGGTGCTCGTGTTTGAAGCTGTAATTTGTATGGTCTTACTTGCTGCTGTTGCTGCCTGTCATACCTTGCTATCCATGTTTGCTCATGGAATAACTGGAAGCTGTATCTTCTCTGCACCTGTTACATGGAGCTCCTCAATATAAGACAGATGGGCATCTTCCCTGTCCCAAAGTCAGCATAAATCTGACCTGTGAGACACAGAATTAAAGCTTGCCTCCCAAACCTGGCTTTTCAATGTGAACTACAGGGAAGGAATTGATCTTACGGATATGAGGATTTGTTTGGTTACCATCTGTCTCTCTCTCGAAATTGATCCAGAGACTGGTGATTCTCTGAGAGGAGACAGTACACTTAGTGTATTGATTGCTTTCTGTTTATTCCTGCAGAAGTTTAGTCCCTGAAAATGTGTTTGAAGGGGAGGAAACTTTGGGGGTAAAGCATCAAAAACCCAAGAGCAGTGAAGGGAAAAGGTAGTGGGGGTCAAAAAAAGCCAGGAGATTGGGGGCAGGCAACACAGGAATGTGGAAATATATGACCCTCAGATCCTGCTATCAGTGCCTGGAATATTGCAAGAAAACTCCAAAACAAACTCAGAATCCTTGTGTGATCACAGCCATGCACATGCCAAAGTGAGGAAGGACATTGTAGTGCATGTGTGCAGACTGGTGCCTCCTTTCCTGAATGAACAGCATAGAAAGAAGAACCCCCACTACAAGTTTTCTGGAGGGAGTTGTATGCTCTGCCAAATTGTGATTAAAGGTGCATTTTTTTATCTTTTCCAGGATTTCCTCCTCCAACCTATGTCGTGCCCCCTCCTGTGGCTTTCTCCATGAGCACAGGGTACACCTTCCCAGGTGGTGTTTCTGTCCCAGGAACCTTCCTCCAGCCCACAGCTCACTCACCTGCAGGAAACCAGGTGCAAGGTGGGAAACAGTCCCACATTCCTTACAGCCAGCAACGGCCCTCTGGACCAGGGCCAATGACCCAGGGACCTCAGCAAACACAACCTCCTTCCCAGCAACCCCTCTCATCTTTACCAGCTCAGGCAACAGCACAGTCCGCAAGCCAGTTACAGGTCCAAGCTCTGGCCCAGCAGCAGCAGCAACAGTCCCCCACGAAAGCTGTGCAGGGCCTGGGGAAGAGCCCGCCACACCACTCCGGATTCCAGCAGGTAAACTTGGCCTGTGCTAAGGCTGGCCTTTATTTAAAAAATAAGTGGCAACGTTCAAGACTTGTCTTCCTGGATTACCCTTCAAAATTGTCGTTAAAGAATTTTTTGATTGTGATCTTCTGGGGAAATTTGAAAATGAGCTGAAGTTTGGTGGGTGTGAACATATGATGCTGTAAGTGAGAGGAAGGTATGTACTGGATTGGAATGTCTTTTCTGTCATCTATTTGCTATGTGTTTCTGATATAGACAAGGTACGGAGGTGGTATGTCTGTCTCAGGCCTTTCTAGTTTTCTGTGTGAATGATGAGGACTGTGTCAACCTCCAACTGCACTCTCCTAGCTAACTGGTTGCAGTGTCAGTTCCCTTACAGCTCTTAGTTCCTTTGCTCACCTTGTGCTGGAGAAAATCTCCCTTCTGGCAAATCTGGACCCAATGGTGAGACCCTTCTTGTGCTCTGGGCAGCAAAACGCTGGCTCAGTACTTTACTAAAGGTTTAGTTGGCAGGCTTTTGGGTTAAAAGGTACTGGACAGAGTAAGGGTTATACTTGGGTTTTGGTTTAAAGCTTGACTAGAGAGCATTAGATGCCTATCGAAATTGCTTTTGATGAATAACGGACATTCCACATTTGAAATCAAGCATTCTGATTTGCTGTCACACATGAGCCAGGCTGACAGCTTGGATGGAGTTAGGCATTCAGGTAATGTGAATTGTTCCTCCCTGCTAGTGAAATCCTGTGTCTCTTCCTCAGTATCCACAGACAGATTCATCGAAGCAGCTCTGGAACCCCCCTCAAGTCCAAGGCTCCCTGGGGAAGATCATGTCTGTAAAGCAGCCCTATTACCTGCCGGCCCAGGACCCTCTCAAGCTCTTTGAACAGTCATTACAGCCTCCTGTGATGCAACAGCAACCTTTGGAGAAAAAAATGAAGCCTTTCCCAATGGAGCCATATAACCAGAACCCCTCAGATGTCAAGGTGCCAGAATATTACTGGGACTCTTCCTATGGCATGACGGACAACAGGGTGATGACCCAGCAGTCGAACCTGGACCGCAGGGGGAAGCGGCAGGGAGTGTTCCGCTCCGAGCAGGATGCTGTCTCCAGGATGACCTTTGAGGTAAAATCCATGCTACAACTGGGCAAAACTAAGGCTCTGGTTTCCCTGTTCCAGAAATGTCCTGTGGTCCTAAGTAGGTCAATGTGTACCTATTTAGAAGAGACCTGAGCATTATTAACTGGGGTTCCAGCAAAACGTAATGAATTCCCCATTTAATAGGCTGTGTGTAGGATCAGCCTCTTGAAGATTTGGTTTCAAGTAAATGTAAGCCTTGTTCAGTGTGAATGTGACATCCACCTCTGCACCGTGTCTGCCAGGTTGTGAAACATGGCAGCTGGTAGTTTTGGGGAAGATTCTTGTCCGGCAACTGATGAAAACCATAAAAGCCACTCAAATCATTGCAGTTGAATTATTACGCTTTAGGTGGACTCCTAACAGTGCTATAGTGAATTGAATGGCTGAGGCTGCACCACACTGAGAGAGCTAAATGGCTTCCTTAGCTCCCGGTTGCAGTAATGGAATACTTCTGTTAATGTAATCGTGCTTCATGTTGCTGTTTATAAACCTACTGATCTCTGTTATTTATTAACAGCCCTGGAGTCATCTGTGAGTGCTTTTGATGATGTTTATAAGGAGGCTTAAACAGAGGCCTTTTAAACCTTTGGTTGGGTGTGCCTCTGTATATGTATGCACTCAGGACATGGAGAAGGTCAGCTGATACCACTTGGCTCATCCTTCCGAGAGAAAAGCCAGACAATGTACAGGAGTCTGCCCCTACCTGATGTCAGGTTGTGGTTTTTAGATGGAGACAGGGTCAAAGTTTTGTCGTCATTCCTAAAAGGGAAACCTTGCCAAGGTGCCAACACATTGTGCTACAGAGAGAAGTTATGCCTGTGATGCTTATGCTTTAAGCATCCTTCACACGAGCAAAGCTGTCCAGTCTGACCAGCAGTGAGCAGATTTTACTAGCCCAGGGGCTGGTCAGCTATGCATTTGCATAGCAGCTATTACCAGTGGAAGTAAGTCTCATGGGATTTAAACTCCTCAGGCAGAGAAAAGAAGATAAAACATAATTCTGCTTGAAACCTAAATTACACCCAGGTCAGCTATAGCAGAATGATTATAAGACGTTATTAGTTGACCTTGCACTTGGAAGCAGGTTCAGTATGTGGCATGGGTGCAAGGGGAATCACACACCTGGCTAATTAAAGCTCCCTGCTGTCACTTTTATGTGTTTTCCTCTCCCTGTGAGCATTTGGCCACGTGGCTGGTGGTTGTTTCTGCTCAGAGTTCTCTCAATGTGTGCCTCAGCACTTTCTCACCTCGCCCTCTGCATGCTGCCTTCTGCCTGCCTCTTGCTGTTCTCTCTCTCCTGCTCTGGCTGTTCTTTCTGCCTTCTCTTGTCTCACTGTGCTCATTTCTGTCACTAGGACCCCAAGAGCTCCCCTCTGCTTCCTCCGGACCTGTTAAAGAGTCTGGCTGCCTTGGAGGAGGAGGAAGAGCTGATTTTCTCTAATCCTCCTGATCTTTACCCAGCTCTGCTGGGGCCTCTCGCCTCTCTTCCTGGACGAAGCCTCTTTGTATGTATTTGATGTAATACTGCTGCTTCTCACTCTTAATTGGCATCTCTTTCTTCTGTGAAATTATAAGAAATGTGAAATTCCTTTCTCTCCCCCATCCCCTCCTGTCCACTTCCCTGCCTCACCTTTGAGCTGGTTTTGGGCTGAAAACTACAGCTTTTGGGCTGAATCTGGGCCCGCTAATTTGTTCAGAAATCAGAATAACTGTGGTGTTTTTTTAAGTACAGTCCACAGGAGAGGTGTTGATGCATCATGATGCATCACTTAATGCACTTGCTCTTCTGCAGTTGTATGGGTTTAGTAATAAAGGGCAGGGGAGGGTCTGATGGGGCTGTGGAGACTCATAGAACAAGGTGTAGTGACAGGCAAGGGGAAATAGCTTCAAACTGTCAGAGAAGAGGTTTAGATGAGATACTAGGAAGAAATTCTTCCCTGTGAGGTTGGGGAGAAGCTGTGGCTGCCCCTCCCTGAAAGTGTCCAAGTGTCCAAGGTCAGGTTGGAAAGGGCTTGGAGCAGCCTGGGATAGTGGAGGTGTCCCTGGGCAGTGGGGTGGAATGAGATGAATTTGAAGGTCCCTTCCAACCTAAGCCATTCTGCAATTCTGTGATATGATTCTGTGATTATAATCTGCATATAAAAATTCCATAGAGGCAGAGGGATGTTGCCCTATTCAATGCAGAAGAGATTGAAAAAAGAGAAAGAGGGCTTTGGAAGAAAATAGCAATTAACTGGATAAATACACGGTAACTCTTACAGAAATACAGTTCATTTTTGACAGAGAGTTTTTTCCCCTACAGTTTTGTATTAAAACTTTCATAGTTCACTACGGGGGTCCAGGACTGTTTAATTTTTTAATTGTCTCTGAAAGGGCAGCATGCCTTTCTACTATGGCTATAAGCATATTTATTAAATCATGCTCATTCAGATCAGTAGCTGTAACAAAGAATTATTTGTGACTACTCAAAATCTCTGATTAAGTCTCTTCCTCAGTTATTTTACCTGCCATTCCAAGGAGCCAGTCACAAAACAGGCACTCATTTCTGTCTCATTAGATAACTTTGCTAAGAAACTAATAGCTGCTGCTTTAACAGCTTCCTTTGAAGCTCTTACTATTCTGTGTGCTGACAAATGGAAGGAAAGCCTTCGTGCAAGCCTTGTGGACATGCAGAGTGGGAATTTTGTCTGTCTTTTAAAACGTGCTTTCAAAGTAATGAGCTGTCACTTTGAAAATCTAACAAGCTAGGGGCTGCTTGCCAAGAAAATGAGGCTGTTTGTCTTAAGTTACAGGATGAAAGCAAATATATTCCAGGTACTGTGACTGTGTTAAAAACAGAGGGATGCTAGTTCTGGGTTTTGTGGTTTGAATAATAAATTTTAAAACATCTGACATGCTGAGCTGGTGAGAGTGCAAGAGGGGGTTTATTTATAACAAGACTACAGCTTTTATTTTGGTTCACACACATTTTTATTTATGGTTTTACTAATTCTGTGTCTTGGTGATCCAGATCCTAGATTTGGTGATGTTCATTGTCTACCAGCCAAACTTAGTAATTTTTCTTTGGTTTCTGTCAATGATAACTATTTCTTCTCTGAATAGGCTAATTTCAAAGACACTGTTTTTCACTCCTTAATCACAGTAAGAACCAAATTGAAAGACAAGAAATATTATGCTGGAAATAACAACTGTATGAGAGGGAGGTGGCATTAGATGATGGAAAAAAGGTTATAATCCATAAGATCTTTACATGGAAGTAAAAAAAAGGAAGTTTTGGAAACTCTCTTTTAAATATTTGGGTTGTTTTTTTTTCCTTCCTCTCTACAAGTAATTTATTATGGAAATGAGAGAGTGCTAAATGACCCTTGGACTACTAAACCTAATTTAAAAAGCAATTAGCTGCTCTTGCTGTCTAAGGAGGTCTATAGCAAGCATGCTCTCAGAACTGAAAAGATACTCTGTCAACAGCCACACACAAGAGTCTGATCTTGTGTGAAGGAGTCCTTGTGTCAGTGGGACAGATCCTGTCTCACTTGTACAAGGTTTTACACAACCTTAAGGTGTTTTTGGCAGGAGTCTCCCCTTTAGACGTATCAGAGTATTAGACTTGGCATTTGAAAACCTGTTCTGGCAGTGGGGTTTGTCTGAGACTCTCAGCTGTCATGGTTGATTTGTAGATTATTAATTACAGGTAGTAGGAAAACTACTGATTTTTTGCACTTGTTAGCTTGCTTCCCCTGTCCTCCAAGGTGCTGGAGCTGAAATGCAAAACAAGTTGTAAATGTGGCCAAAAGCACTTTGGCTGTTTCTGGTTACACGCTTTCCTCCTGGTCCCTACACTGAGCACTAACTGTGCTTTTCCCCTTTTTGGTTTCTGAAGAAGTCTCTGCTGGAAAAACCATCAGAATTGATGTCTCAGTCATCATCTTTCCTGTCCCTCAGTGGCTTTTCTCTAAATCAGGTAAGTGAGAACCAGAGTCCAACACCTTTTGCTGTTTCAGCTTGTGGTTAAGCCAGTGGAAAACCTGAAAGAAATCCACATGGATATGTAATTTCACTTTATATCAACTTAATCTTGGCCTTTATCAGTTTTCTTCCCAAATTCATCTTAGCTATATCTCTGTAGATGTACTCTTGAATCTTGGTGAGTTCATGAGCCCTTTGCTCTCAGTGAAGTCATGAAATTAACTGAAAAGGTGCCATCTCAGGGTGCTGTGGTGTGTAGGTTTTTATTTCCAGAGCAATGTTCTCTGCCAGAGAATTGAGCGGGATGTTGATACAACTTTTCTGAGTACTGGGAATCTGAAGATTTTGTGAAGACTTTGCAGTCCAGCCAGGAGAAATCTGTCCTGATTCAGAATGTGATGGACTTAAATTAAATGGTCAGAGAAGATGGGGCTGGGAAGTGAAAAAGGAATTAGGAAATATTTTGAGCTATAATTGTTTCCTTTGTACAGTCTCAGTGTTTGAAATAAGTCTGACACATAAGCTCTTATATTGTTTGTTGTTTTTCAGGAAAGATATCCAAACAACAGCATGTTCAATGAGGTATATGGAAAAAACATGAATACCAGCACAAAAACAGAAGTCACCCCTTCAGTTGCCCATCAGGAGACTTCACTCTATTCTCTCTTTGAAGGGACTCCGTGGTCTCCATCCCTTCCAGCCAGCTCAGGTAATCCTGGTACGGCATTTCTTGTGTCTAGTGATTTAAGAGGATTTGAATTAATTCTAAACCAACTGCAAGTTATATGTAACCTGTAACTAAAAAAAAAAAAAAAACAACCAAACCCAAACTTGCTTGACAAGGTCTCTGAAGGTTTCTATTTTACTTCATATATCTTCAGAAATAAGAAGGGATTCTGTAATTAATACAGTGTAAGAACCTGGATTTTAATTTAAGTAGTTGAACAGGATAAATGTAGGAGGTGATAAATCTCTTTAACTTCGTTTCCTGACAGCCATTTGGGAGTAGTGCTTTAACTCAGACATCCATATATTTTGTGTTGCTTTTTTTGGGAAAAGCAGGAGGAACTGGATTTCATAATGCAGATATTTGAAAAAGAAACTGTATGAGGGAAGAGTGGAGGAAAATACAACAGTAGTGAGTTTTGTTGTGCTTGGTTTTTTACTGTTAAACAGCCCATAAAGCAAACCAGCTTCTTTGTTAGTAATTATCTTAAAGGCATAAAACATAACTATTATATAATAATTTTATTCTCACTAAAAATCCAGAAGGGTGTGAGACAGTAATTAGTTGAATCTAAGAAGTAAGTGGATTTTAAATAACATCTGCACTGGATGAGATGTTTGGTGGGACTTTTTTGCAACCAACCAAGAAAAGCTGTTGTGGGTGAAATGGAGGGAGTTGCAAAGTGCTTTTATGCTAGCAAGATTTTTGGCTCACAGGGCTTCAACTCCCTCTCCCTTCACCTCTTCATTTGTTCTGTTTGGCCTGTGGACAGCTTGCTTCATGCTCCCTCTTCTCTTTTGCTCACTATTAGGTTCTGGTCTGAATTGTTTGAAGACTCATATAAGTGTAAAACATTATCAGACTTGGGAGTTGAAGTTGTAAACTTGCAAACTCCTCAAGGTCTAATCTAATTTTTCTATTGGTTTTCCAAGCTTGGAGACAATTACTCTCTTACTTTGAGACAAGTCCTTCAGGAGACATGGGGAAAACTGGCTTTGCCTAGCCAGCCCTCATGAGGTTTCCTGGGTTTTGTTTTTCAGTAAGCATTAAACACAGTCATTCTGTTCTTGTAAATTTTTCACTCAGAATTTAGGAATTTGCATTACACTCATGTAATGGAGGGAATTGTAGCAAACGGGATGATGGCAGAATTTGCAGCAGCATTAAGAAATTTAAATCTGGGAGGCTCCTGCTGTCTCTGCTGACCTTTTTTCCTCTTCCCTTGTAACCCCTAGATCATTCAACACCAGCCAGCCAGTCTCCTCACTCCTCCAACCCCAGCAGCTTGCCAAGCTCCCCTCCAACCCATAACCACAATTCTGTTCCTTTCTCCAACTTTGGACCCATTGGGACTCCAGACAACAGAGACCGGAGAGTCGCAGACCGCTGGAAAACAGATAAGCCAGGTAAGTGCTGGGTTCCAGGTTAGCATGGAGCTGTCAGACACCCTCATCTGATGATGTTTGTTCTGCACTGGTTTTGCCACGTCACTTTGAACTTGTCTTTTTGCCATTTTAGCAATGGGAGGGTTTGGTCTGGACTATCTCCCAACAACGTCGTCCTCTTCAGAGAGCAGCTGGCACCAGTCCAGTACTCCCAGTGGGACCTGGGCAGTCCAAGGCCCTCCTGCCATGGAGGACTCCTCAGCTGTGCTTATGGAGAGCCTGAAGGTGGGTTTGGCTGAGGCTGTGCTCAAGGACAGGTCTGCAGGCTGAACGATGGGCATTAGCCTATTGGAAGCATTGGAGTTCAGTGCCAGAAGCCCAAAGTTTTTCCTGCAATGTGGGAGGTGTCACCAATGCAGGAAGATGTCACAAATTTCCAGTTCTTGCTGGTTTTGAGATTTTGTGGAGCAAGCCCAGGCTCGCAGAACTGGAAGAAATTATAACATTTGCTTTGACTAGTCTAAAATTAGTAATAGTTAATGTAGGATGAGTTTTTATGGTAACGAGGGTTCTGGAGGAGGATAAAATTCTTCCAGGGGGCCTCTTTTTAGAAGGTCTTCTTTGAAGTCTGGTTAACTTTCCTGATAAGCCAGGTATGAGTGATAAAGAGGGAGAATATAGAACACGGTGTCTGTTTTCCCATCTGGCAGAAGGGCTGTGTAATGCAAAGAGGTGCTAGTGTTGGCTGTTTGTTTTTAGTCCATCTGGTCCAGTTCCATGATGCACCCCGGCCCCTCAGCCCTGGAGCAGCTGTTGATGCAGCAGAAGCAGAAGCAGCAGCGTGGACAAGGCGCCATGAATCCGCCGCATTGAGACAGAGGAGGCAACCCTTACAATGATGGCTCCATAAACCATGGCATGTTGGGTCTGTGGGACTGGCACACACAGTCCTGTGCAGGTGGCAGCCCTCTCTTCTGTTCCTTGCTGTCAGGAGGGCGTAAGTGCTCCACCAACCCACTGAGTGTGCACAAAACGTCTGCAGTGCAAGCAAACAACATCAGGAACTCTCCCATCCCCCAGGCCCTTTGGAGGGAGAGAGGAACTGCTGTTTGGCTCACTCAGTAACCCAATATCACCGCCTCTCACCTTCTCCATTGTGCATGTCCCCAGCCACATGGGAAGTAAAAGCTGAGAGCAAAGGGCAGATGGGAGAAGCCAATGAGAACTTCTCAATCCTTTTCCTCTCTTTGGGGAGATACAATAGGAATCCATTAATGATTGCTTCGCTGACTGAGAATGTAGTTGAAATTACTCCTAAACATCTTTATTACTATCTCAGTAGTAAGATCACACTGAATTCTGTACACAGACGTGCTTCATAGTCAGTGTGTAGCAATGAAAGCCCCAGTTGCTGCTCCGGTCACAGTGGGTGGTGATGAGGTGGGGCTCTGTATCCTGGACTAGCAAAGGAGTTTCATGAAAGAGAGTCTTGCACTTGGCACACTTCACCCAGAGGCTTTGGGTGGGTTAGAGACTCCAGCATGAAATGCCCTTCTCTCAGTAGGTGTTTGAGCTATAAGGGGTGACATGGGGCATTGCAGCACTATGTTGAAAAGCAAGTTAACTGCTACGGGGTTTTAAATTAATGTGTGATTCCTGTACATTTTACTGTAGCATAGTGGCTAGCCCCACAAAGGGCAGGCTAGTCTGTGCATTCACAGCCTGACTCATTTTAATAGGTAGGTAGAAAGCTTTCACTGGTTTTTTTTTTGTTTGTTTGTTTCTTGTTTTGTTTTTTTTTTGTTTTGTTTTGTTTGATTTGGTTTTGTTTTTTCTCTTTCCATCCTCCCATCTTCGCTAAACGCTCGTAGTTTCATTACCATGGCAGAAAATAATCAGGGGTCCAGGAGGGCTGGTTGAATCCAACAGCCAGCCCAGACAGCATGGGGCATCCGCACGCCCGGTGAGGAACAGGTCAGCTCTGCAGAAACCTGTCCCAGCTGCAGCCCCAGGCTTTCAGTGCCAGAAACAAATTCAAGGCACCCATGGACACACGGAAACAGCACAGTGCTGTTCACAGATGAAAAGGTGCAGAAGGGAAAAGGAAAAAAAAAAATGTTTTATTTGCTATTTATTAGGGGGAAGGAAGACTGGAAGTTTTGTTAAAGAAAAGGACAGCGTTTTTGTTAGATTTCCCAGGGAAGTTACAGAAACAGACTCAATGTCCATTTGCTGTTTTTAGCAGTAGGGGTTTGTGTGATGATTCAGGATCTCTGGACTAGAATTCAGCTGCAGAACAAAGCACATGCAGGAGCCGAAGTGACGCTGGAGTCTGGGCAGTCCCAGAGAATACAAAAAGGGAAGGCGGAGGAGACCCAATACCCTCGGGGGTACGAGAAGCTCACTACGAGCTCCACCTTAGCAACATCACTGTTCTGTGTTGCATTTCAAAGCTGTATTTCCTTTAACAAGTCCAAAAAGTGAAGTTCCCACCTGGTGGTAATCCAGCCCACCCTGTGTGTCCCCTCCAGCCCTCCCGCTGTGTGTCCAAGCTGTGCGCCCAGGCAGCTGCGACATTCCCGTGTTTGCACCGTCACTGACTCTTGCACCCCAGACGAGCTAACCAGGAACACCATCTCACTCCCGGCCGTGCCAGGTCCCAGCTGCACCGTTCCACTTGTGCATGAGCACCCGGCCTCGGGAATGCGTCTGACCCCGCCTGCCCTCCAGCACCTGGAGGAGCCAGGGAAGGGGCCCCCAACAGAAACTGGTTTGTGTTGTAAGCTTTTTTTGTGTTTTCTGTCTGTCTGTGCAAGAACTGCAGCTGCCGAAATCAGCTTTGCCTTTAATTAAACCATGTTCTCTCCATCCAGGTCTCTGTGTGTAGCATTTATTTCCTGTGTGACTTGGCTTCAGGCCTTTAAAAATGCATTACGTTTCTGGAGAAGCCAGAAAAATGTTTGAAGTTGATTTCTTATTTGAAAGAGCCCTAAATAAATCACAGTGATTCTGGGTTGGGCTTGGTACAGATAATTTGGTTGTGGTTTTGTGCTGGCTGTGTAGTATGTTTTACATACTAAACTAAATATGTAGGATGGGAGCAGCTTGCAAAGCTCCTCCCTAGTTGCAGACTCATCCTGGTACAGCATGTGCAGTGTGCAGATGGAGGGCACAGATCCTGCTGCCAATGACTTGCCTGCTGACACTAGGGTGTTCACTGTTTCCATGCTTCCAGTTGTGTATGTCACAGTAAACTCCAGAGCTGATGTTCTGGTTTTGAAATTACAGGTGTTTGTTTTCTCCAGAATAAGTTCCTTTAAAAAGAAATGTGATATTTAGGTTAATGGGGCAGTGGGGTTTTCTGGACTTGGGTGATAGAATCCAGAGTGGGGAAGCCCCTGCCCCCTTAGCACCCTTGGAGTAAAGCTCTGGGATTCCAGGCTGTGTCTTCTAAGTTCCTGTATCTTCTGACTGATCAGGAAAAACTTTGAAGCACAGGTCCCAGTGCTGAAGAAAATGTGCCTGCTTTTACTGGTGGGAGTTTTTAAAGTCCCTGTGAATTTGAATTATGAGTTGGGGCAGGGTGAGGCTATGTGGTGTCTTCTAAGATCATGGGGTTGGGACTAATGTTTTAAGGAAGCAAGTGCTTTCCTGGTCTATAGCTTCCTGAACTCACTCACCCTTTGGGATCTGCTGGCAGGGCTGTAAATGCAGGTTGCACCACCCTCTTGTGGGTGTTCCCAGCTTCTGGCATGTCTGTATAAAAGCTTTTTTAAGGATGGGGGAACATAGCAAGCCTCTTGGCAAGCACAGGATTTAGGAATGAATGTATTCCTAACATGAATTAGCAACTTCTTAACAAGTTCCTGTTTAAGAGAACAACGCAAAAGGTAAGAGAAAATATAAAGCTTTTAATACAAGTAGTAATAACATTTAAAGTTCATTTTCAGATGCAGAGATTAATATGCAGACTACATAATGGGAATAGTTGAATTCTTAGTTTCTCTCCACAACTTCAAGCTCTTCTGAAATCACTTCTCTGGGTGTTCAGTGTTGGGCTGTTGAACAAATGCAGATGGGAAGATGCCAGTCCTCCCCTTGCACTTGCCTTCGAACCAGTCTTCATTCACTGGAAGGGAAAATTGACACAGTTCTTATGACCCTAGGAATGTGCAGGAGCATAATGTGCTGCAGACAGGCCTGCAATCACCATTTTATGGTGTTCCTGCTGATAAGACTTGGAGCTGTGCTAGACCCAGCAGGGAGTGGAATGTGGAGGAAAGGGAGGAATGAGGAAGAGAGTAAAGTGGTAACATAAGAAGGAATATCAGATGGGGGTGGGAAATTGGATCAAAATAGAGAGTGGGGGCTTGGAAACTGTTTTGAGTGGAAACAAAGTGAATGTGGAGAGTGAGGAAATTATCTGAGACCTTGGTCTGTCCTCTTCAGGATACATCTGAACTGTTTTGTCAACTGTTCCTCATGTTCACATAAAACCCCTAAAACAACACCCCCACCCCCCCCCCAAACCTCTGCTACCCTAGGTTAAGTAAAGCCTATGAGCTCTGGCAATTTTGCTGTGGAGGAACCAAATGAGGTAAGAACCAACTTTGTACTGGGAAACATTTAACTCAGCAATGAAGGGTGGGGAAGGTAGGATTTTGGGGTGGAGGGGGCTCATCAGTATTGCATGGTGGAAAATCTAACCTGTCAGAGGTTAGATGGGGGACTGATTGTGTACTGCTGCCAAAGCCTGCTAGCCACCACAAATTAGTGACATTACTACAGATTGCAAAATAGAAGGGGGTTTTGCCTTTAGAACTTATTCCTGATCTCTTGATTTCACTCAGAGGCTCAAATGAGATGGGGAACATGCCCTGTGTATCTAATTCTTCATTGATCTTCCTGAGATTCAATGAGGTATTTAAGCCTAAATTCCCATAGAAACACTAAGGACGAATATTGAATGACTAATGGAAAATTGTATCCTTAAAAAGAAAAATAGATGAAGAAAGCTTCCAGGTGGAAGGAATGGGATTGAGAGCCTGCTCCCATTGTGCAGATAGCAGCTCAAATGAGCCATCTCCTTAAAAGAATCCACTGTGATCAAGAAGTTTAAACATAGCACAGGTATAACTCCTGTCTTAGATGTTTGGGAGGGGTGCGGTGGAAACGGGAGTGGTGAAAATGTGTTGGAAGAAGCGTGTGTAACAGGGACGTGTGGATGGGAATCCCAAGGCAGAGCTGGAGGGGCTCTGCTGCTGCCACACCACCCTCCCTCTCACCAGAGCTGGGGGTTCCCTCCCCTCTCCTGTCCCAGGAGGAGCACAATTACCTTTGGATAAAATGAGGATCTTGTCTCCTGCCTGAAACTCCAGGTCTTCAGGTTGGGTGGCTTCATAACTGTACTGAGCTACAACATGGGTTGGTCCCATCTCCCCCGGCGTTGCCTCCTGCAGTGACTCCTCTGGTTTGCTGTCTGGCACAAACCCCTCTCCCTAGGCAGAAAACAAGCTGGTGAGGACACAACCAATTGGGGTTTTTTCTCTCTACCAGGGCAAGAGAGATGAGCTCTGCTGCTTCTCTCCACTCTTTGCTACTCTTCCTTTCATGAGGTCACTGGGTTCTGTTGAAAGCCACAAACCCGTGTTTGTGGCAAGGAAGACAAAGGCAGGAGGGAAGAGGAGGTGGCTGCCCCCTGTAGCTGTCACTGACCTCTGTGCCATTGCACCAGACTGTCAGGCAGTTGTCCTTGCTCTGGGTCCAGGCCGCCTCCACGTTCTCTGCACTCAGAGTCACCAGCTCCTGGCCCTCCACAGGCTTGTACCTGGTGTGCAGGGGATGCAGGTGAGGAGCCCTGGAACACAGCCCTGGCCCCTTGGGGCTGCCAGTGCCTCACCTCAGCTCCGTGTGCTCAGGCTGCAGCTCCAGCTTCTTGCAAACCAGCTCCAGGAGCTCCCTGTAGGAGAGGCCTCGATCGACTCTCAGGGCAACTGTGAACTTGTAATGCACCTTGAGGACATGGGGGCTGGAAACAGTTGGTTCAGCCTCCTGCAGGCAGGAAATGGGATGTCACCCTGTGTGGCTTGGCAAGCACAGGGATGTGCAAACTGGTTGCCTGAGTTAGATTTCGCCTCGAGGTGTGTTTGGATTTTGGCTGGTTGGCAGCCCTAAGCTTTTTCCAGGAGAGAGCTCAGTAATAGGTTAGGGACTTGGAAGCAAATTGGGGCTTTGGGGTGATCAAATGGAGATGTGTCCACCCTCCAAACCCCTCCTTTAGTTTTTTGGTTTTGGTTTTTTTTTTGAGTTGGAATTGGTGTATTTTCCCATTTATCTTCCCAGCACGACCTTCTATGCATTCCAGCCAAGCTCTCTCCTGTTTCTCCCTTCTCAAGTGCCTCAGGTTGACTAAGATGAGAGTCATCCAGTGGCCCCCTCACCTGGGGCCTGGAAGAGAATTCCCAAAAAGCAGCCCTACGTCTCCTGGTAAATGCAGATTTGTATGAACAGCAGGACCTCGGGGTCTGTGCTCACAGGACATTACCTTTGCTGTGTCTCTTGGCTGTGCCACAGTAGCAGGAACATAGTCTGGGGAGGAGGAAAAAGGTGGCTCAGGAGGTGGGATGGGATAAATGCTGTCTAAACACACAGCCAGACCTCCTGCAGCCCATCATGATCTCCAGCAACACCAACCAATCCTGGACCAGCAGTAGTCCCACGAATGGATACAGCATCTGCCACAGGGGTTCTTCTGTAAGATCTAGACACAATCACTGAGGAGAGGTTTTGGCTCTGTGCCTTCCCTCTTGGAGGGGTGGGATGTCTTTCATGGGTGGATTCACAAAAGATAAACATGTAGCTGCCGGTTTTAATGTCTTTGCTCTTCTGATCTAGGTGCACCCTGAAAACCAAAGGCAATCCCTGTCCTTCAGTGGGGCTGTAAAGCTAAACTCGGGCTCCAGGCAGGGTGATTCCATGCAGCTTTGTGAAGCCTCTTCATGAGGATCTGATTTACATTTTGGCAGTGTTTTGGCACAGCTATACTCATTCCAGGAAGAGCCTGAGCTACACTGTTGAACATGGTTCCACTAATAGATCTGAGATGGCTTTTGGTGCCATAAAGGTGATCATTGGGGCTGTTGTGTCCATGAGGTGTTTGTCCTTAATTCCATGAGCAACAGCTTTCTTCTGTGTCATCTCTACCCATGGACTGCTACAAGGCTGCTCTGCTGGGGACATGAGGTTGGGGACGTGGGACACTGGCTAGCATCAGCCAGGAATCCCCTTCATACAACTCCTTAAAGCCTAGCTCAGCTCACAGCAGCACTGAAACTGTCATGGATGCCCTGCTTGAAGGAGAAGCCTACAAGGAATCTTTTACTCCAAGCTGGTTCTTGCCCCATTCCTATCTCCAGGCCCTTTTTCTCCTTAGTCACTGTGCTAATTAAGAGCACAGAGGGACTTGCTTTCCTCAGGGACCCCACGGACACTTTTACTCCATCCTCAGCACTGCAGTACTGTCTCTGCCTCCTGTTCTAATGTCTCCCAGTCCTTGACTGCAAATGGGGCCAGGAATGAGATGGAGATGAACCCTAGTCCCGGTCTCAAAGGGTGAGGACACAGCATCTCAGCGTGCTGTGGGTGATGTCACCCCGTGCTCCCCATGCCTTCAGCTCCCCACACTGACCTGGTGCCAGCCGCCGCGGCTTCTCCGGCACAGTGGAGGTGGGCGAGTCAGGGATCTCAGCTTCCACAGGGCTTTCTTCCTGTGCCATGGGAAGAGAGAGTGCTGTCAATCCACCCTTACTGAGGGGCTGGGGTGCTGCTGCCTTGTGCAGCCCCTCTCCAACCTGATGTTTTCCTGCAGTCTGTTTGGGGTCTTGAACTCAGGACGGGTGCCTTGGCTATATCCATTATCTCCCCAGCATTGCCCACCACCACTAGGGTACCACCAACATGGATTTTGCAGATCCCTGGGCTTATGATAAGGTGGCCATAAGCCAGAACCAACCCCCAGGATCATGAGGGGGAGAGAGTCACATATATGAGTCCTACTGGGAGGCAGGTGTTGGGTGAATATGTGGAGATCTGCCCTCCCCAGGACACCATTTCCTCCTGGGCCTCCTCACCTGGATATGCAGCTTATTCTGGAGCTCCACAGGCTCGAGGAAGTTGCAGGGGACGATACCTTTCTGCAGGGGGAAGAAAGAGGAGTAGTGATTGCTTGGCAAGAAGGCAACCCACTGCTGGAGGACACAACTGGATGTGTCCTCACCCTCCCCTGCATCCAGGAGGGTTCCTGAGGCTTGAATTTTAGTTTCTGCAGGGTGGGTGGATTTCATTGAACCCTGTGGCCTAAGCCAGAGTGGACATAAGAAACTTCGGTCAGAAATTTAATTACTGTTGGCAAGCTTCTACCTCTGCAGAACCCCAACCATAATCTGCTTTCTGTCCCTCCTGTCCAGCACACTCCTGGTATACCTTTCCATTGAACATCACTGTAGCCCAGTTGTCCTTCTCTTTCTTCAGTACAAAGACAATGTTTCCTGGCAGGACCTGCAGCTCCTCAGCGGTCTCAGGAATGAACTCGAACATGACACGGTGTGGCTGCCCTGTGAAGGCCCTGGGTGTGGGAGCAGTGGACAGGTTAGGAATGCTGGCAATAATGTTGTTTTACATTGTGGGGAGAATCCAGACCTCTGCCTCCATGTTTCTGCATTCCCCATTCCCCGAGTTGTGGGTGCCAGCTGGATGCTTGGCTGTGAGAGTGCAGGATGGGGCTGTGCCTGGCTGTGTGTGTTATCCATCCTTCATCCAACTTACCTGAGGACTTCGGGGGTCTTGGGCCTGGGTGGAGGACCAGAGGCCTGCCAACAGGAAGACAAAAAGGAAAATACCAGTAATCCAGAGGATTTTGTTTGCCTTGCAGAAATGTCCTGCAGCTTTCTACTATGCCTGCCCTCACCCCAACACTGCTCCTTCCTCCACATGCAGGTGCCTTAGGTGCCATGAGGAATATCCCTGGCTTTGTTCCTTCTATGGAACAGTTTCCACATTCTTCAACATACAGTTGGTTTTCAGAAGCACAATCCTCTTTTCACTCCTGATTTTAGTTTCAGTTCACAGAGGATTTAGATTGTTAACACCTGTCTGCATTGAGAAGGTTGTAATTTATCTTCTGCAACGGTGCTGTGCTGTGCTTCCCCATATCCTCCCCAAAACCTCCTGGAAAAGCTCTTGCCACGTTTAGGAATGGGAAGGTGCCACTACATCATCTGGAAAATGGCATGGGAAATGCAAAGGAGTTCTGGAATGGGCAGGAGGGCAGCGAGAGCAGAACTGCCATTGTTTCTCCACTCAGGCTTAGGCAGACGATCCCTAATGAATTCTTTGGGCGGGTCAGAGACAGCTCCCTGCAGAGAGCCGTCACCCCGCCCACTATTTCCCCGTGCAGGGAACCAGTTTCACCTCAACCACCGCTGTGGGTGGGTTTGGGATGAGCTTCCCGATGCTGGAGGGAGCAGTTGATCCGTGGAAGCAGTGCCCAGCTCCTCCCCAGGCAGTGGCACAGAGCTCAGGGTGCTGTTTGCTCCCCACTGTGGATGACAGCCACCCCATGTCATCCTGCACTGAGTATGCTGTTCACTGACAGAGTCTTACTTGTGGCTGCAGGGGAGCGAATCCTGAAAAATCGTCCTTGTCCACCACAGATGCCACCACCTAGAGCCAAAGACAAATAGTGACTTGGTGCCTGTAAACCTCTCTCAGACCTCTGATGTCCACCCTCCTCCTTCTTTGCTGTTGGCCAAGCCAAGCCCCTCAGGGTGCTTTAAGCTCAGGAGGGGGCTATGATTTTAGGCTAAGTATCTTGAACTACAGGCTGAGTGCCTATGGCACCAAAGCTTCCCTCTCAGCTCTGGAAGTTTTCTGCTCTTGGCCTGACTGTTTCTGTGGTTTGAGGCGTTACAACCTAAAAGTTTGCCTTTCTGTTTTAATCACAAATGTTGAAGGGACCCAAAGTGTCCAGCTCAAGCCAATACTTCCTACAGGTGACATCAAATGTAATTCAGAAAGCTGATACATGGTTTTGGGTGTGTTTCTGGCACTCAAGGAGCTGCCTGCCTCTTGGCTGTCTGATTCCTCAGTGCCTGGTTCCTTTTCTGGACGAGTGCTGCTTCCCAGGACCTGAGACCAGGGGTGGTATCCCAGTGACTGGATTTTGCACACTCACAGGAGAAAAGCTTGCTTGCTTATCTGAGCTGAAAAGCCCTTTCCAAACAGAGCAGTGAAAGAACTGGAGGTTGGTTGTGGGTGTCAGATGTTAAATAGCTCCTTTCCCTCACCCCTGAAAGTGTCTTAGCTTGAGTTGAAGCTCCAGTGGGATCTTTTCCAGCTCATTGCTGACTATCCCTCATGTCTTACTAAGAAGGCAAACTAGAAATAGGCCATGCTCAGCAGGAACATGCTTTCAGCTCTTGTGTTCTTGCAGACTCCGTTTCCCACGAGATCCCTGTGTGCCCATCCTTCTTTCCATGTCTGAGGGATCCCTGAGGCAGAGACCAGCTCTCTGTCTCTGGCTGCCTACCAGGCAGCAGACAGCAGCTCAGAGGGGTGATGAGAAGGCAGTCAACAGTTCTATTCAGCCCACAGGCTGAATGGATCTTTCTTACCATTGCCTTTCCTAGGTAGTCCTTCTTCTCCAGCTGAGCCACTTGCTTCTCATTTGGCCTGAACAGCTTCCCTGCAGGAATGGCCACCAGCTCACAGAGCTTCTGCTTCTGTAGCACAGAGAAGTCATGGAGACTTTGGAGGTAAGAGCAGGGACTGATGAATGTCCCTTCTGCTCTGGGCTTGGGGGCTGCTCCATAAAGCCGGACCACTACCATGACAGCCCAGTCCCAGCCCTGGTATGGTCCATTGAATCCCATCTTCCCATCCCTGCCTCCCCAGTGACCCAAAGCTCTTCCCACAGGCTTGTGTCCCTCTACAATATCCATTGCCATGGCATTTTAATCCTGCTAGAAGGTGGATGTGCTGTCAGTGGCATTTCCCTCCCTCTCCCTGTGGGGCTGTGAGACCTGCTCCTCCATACCAGGATGGCTTCCATTGCCCTGTCTATCTTGTTGTGCTGGGGCTCGCTCTTCATGCTTATGGCCAGGCTCAGGTGCTCCTCAGCCTTCTCCCAGTTCTCTGTTGTGGCATACACCAGTGCAATATTGTAGAGAATCTGCTGGAGGGAAGGGAACAAGGGAAAGAGCTCTTGGAGCAGCCAGACTGCTGCCAGGAGAGCAGGAAAGGAAAGGAAGTGGGATAGTGGCACTGCACCCACTTGCTTGTTTTTTTCAAGGTACAAAGAGAGGCTGGCTGTCTCCTCTTTGGATTTCTCATGCTGGAGATCAGACCTTTGGGATCAAAACTGGTGGCCAGGTGTGTCTCACCTCGCAGGCAAAGAGCCGGTAGCGCAGCCCCAGGATTTTGTAGTCGATGAGTTGGTTGCCTCGCAGCTGGGCCAGCGCCTCTTTGAAATCCTCAATGGCCTTTCCATGGCTGTGGAGCAGAGGACGAAGGTGTCACCAGCTCGTGGTGGCAACCTGCCTGCCTCTAAGCCTGTACTCAGACTTGGCGAGTTCAGTTGGGTCTCCCCTCTATCCTTGCCGTGTTTCAGACACTCCAAGGAAGGAGAGAGGTTCTGAGGCTCATGTTAATCCCAGGACTGCATTGCTGAAGACTAGGAGCCTGTTTGACCTCGAGGGGTTTCAGTCTGGGCTCTGGGGCACCAACCTGCCTGGGGTCATCCTCACATGAAGGCTGGCATCTCTGTAAGCGGCAAAAATGAAACTTGAAACCCTTCCACTCACTTCTGCCTCCGGTAAAACACAGTCCCCCGCTGGAAATAAGCCACTGCCAGGTGCTTGTCACAGCCAATGCTCCGGGTGAACGCCTGCACAGGAAGGAGTGGGGAAAAAGGGGGGTAAAAAGGGGACATCATAAAAAAACTGAGGGCGTAGAGCAATTGTACCTGTCCTGCCTTAGCCAAGCTCAGCTCTGTGGGCTGTCTCCCTGCAGCACTGGGCATTGGGTGAGGGAGAGCCTGTACCAGGCTCCAGGGATTTTTTGAGCCGGAGCCATCTGCCAGCATGGTCACCTCCGGGAGAGAGGGAGTGAACAGTGACCCGTGTATCACTGCTGCTGCCTCCCCTCTGATTCACTGGCAGAATAGATTTGGCAGCCTAGGGCTGTCCCACGTCCTCACCGCTTTAAAAGGCTTCGAATCCATCCTTTAGACCGTGATCCTTTTAATTCCTTCCTTCCTTCCTTCCTCACCATGTCCCTATATCTGGCCAAGTCGCGGAGGTGAGAGGATGAGCGGCCCTAGCGGCTGTCCCTTACCTCCTCCGCCTCTGCCAGCTTCCCCAGGACCAGCTGGATGCAGCCGATGTTAAAGCAGATTTTGGCAGGGGGGTTCTGCACGGCCGTGAAGGCATCCAGGGCAGCACTCCACTCCTTCCTGTCCGCTGCACACACTCCTTCCTGCCACAGCCGGATCGTCTCCACCAGGGACATGGCGCGCTGGGGCTGGGATGGGGGATCCCGGTGCCGCGGGCCTCGCCCCTCTCGCTGTCCTTCCTTGTGGCGCAGCTCGGCCTCTCTGGCTCCCTTCTGCCGCTACTTCTGCCTGTCCCCCGCCGCTGTCACAGACCTGGCAGGAAGTGGCCTCACCCGCATCATCAGCCCCGGGATGGGGAAGTGGGGCTGAGGCTGCTCTGACACTGCGGGTGTCCATGGGGTGCATCCCTGCTCCTCTCGGGCAGCCGCTCCTCGCCTATTTCGGGATGTGATCTTCCGGTTTTTACATGAAAACCCACGGATTTTGTCAGCTGGGTGATTCATTAGGTCGAATTTCAGGTTGCAAAACCGCAGGACGAGCGCTGGGCCGAGTCCTTGGTGCCCTGCAAAGCGCAGTCTCAGCGCTAAGCGATTCCTTCCTGCAGACAATTCCTGGCAGGCACAGCTGGGCTGGGGCTCCCCTGTCTGCCTAAGTGAGGAGGTGAAGTAGAGCCCAAGGACCCGCCTGGGAAACCCTTGGTCCTTCCCGACCCCACTGGGTTGTCCCAGTGTGGAGTTCTGCTGCTAAGGGCACATGGAGCTGCCCATGGATGAGATTGCTGGGGCAGTGCCCATGCTGCCCCATATCCCCAGGGCTCAGCCCAATATCATTCTCTCCTGGTGCTTTAGGGCCAGTGAAGCACAACTGGCTCTGGAGCACAGGGCCAAGATGAGCACGGGGTGACAGCAGGATTCTGACCTGCTGCTGACTCACAGTTTGGAGCTGGCTGCTCCACACATGATTTTAAAGCATTTTTGGAAGTACTTTGCCCCATCTACCAGCAATGTGATGTGTATTTTGTAAGAGCTTAAAATTTATCAGCAAGACTCAGCCCTTGTGCCTTTACCAAAACTTCCCTAGCAAATTACATAACTCCAGTAGTGGGAGGGAGGCTGGGGAGGTGACTTCTGAGTACTGCTGATGGGGAAACCCGAGCCCCTGAGCAGCAAAGACTGGGGTTTTAATCCAAAGGACCAAACAGAACTCTGAGCTGTGTGTGTGCCCTCAGCTGGCTCTTACAGACTTCCCACGGGAGCATGGAAGGCTCTCTGATCTCCAGGAAAGCAGAAGGACATGCAACCAGCTGAAGTGATGCTCAGGTAAAAGGGTAGGAATAACAACATGGTGAGTGTAAAAACACCTCTCTAGGTGCCTTTTCTGATTCCTGTGAGGGATGGGAGATCCTGTGGAGCAATAAAAGGTTCACCTTTATTGGAGGAATTATTTTCTGCTCATTTAATTATCTGAATTGGTGCACTGCTGGCCAAGTTTATCCCAAAACCAGTACAAGGGGAGCTGGAGAAGAATGAGAGATCATCCCTGTTGGAAAGCTCACAACAGCTGTCCTTCTGCCTGGGTACTTGTCATTTATCAGTGAGGAGATTTCAAAGCTGTGATAAACAGCCCTCTGTGATAAACAGCCCTTTTAGCAAGAGAAGTCTCTTGTTCCCCTTTCTCTGCCCAAAGCTGACTCGGTATAGGTGAACTTGTTTCTTCTACGCTAATGTCCAACAGGAAGTGAGTAACAGAGATGGTGACATTTCATGTGGAAGACTTCTTGGAGTCCAGCAAACCCAAATTGCCAGTAGGTGGATCAGAAACAGAGAAATGTCCCAAATCCAGCTGGGGTGCAGTGCAACAATATGTACAAGTTTATAATTTCTGAAGAGTCAAAAAAAGACTGATTCAGGCACAAAGAACCTCCCATTATGCACAGGGAAAGACATTTTTGTGAGTTTTATTAGGCAGGGGGAGCACATCCAGCTCATTCCCAGGAAGGTAGGTTGGAGCTCTCTCTCTCTCTCCCCCAAAACCTGGGGGGGTTTGGCTCTTTTCCCAAACAGTGGCAGATACTGAGGTGGATGTGAGGACAGCAGTGGCTTTTGGCTAGCAGAAAAGCAGGAGGTCTCTGAGAAGGTGCCATTGCCACGTGCTCCAGCTAAAGCTGAAGGCAGCAGAGGTCTGCAAACCCTGTCAGTCTTCCCAGTCTGACCTGCACGAGGTTATCCTTTGAAGGCTTCCCTCTCCCAAAAGGAATCTGAACCCCTGTCATGGTGTCCGTACCATCCACCAATACAAGCAAGGCAGGACTTGGACGAAAGACACTGTTTTTTAAGACTAGATTGACTTTTTCCCTTCCTGCCACTCATTGCCAGCAGAGCTGCCCCTGCAAATCCTGCCCTGTCCCCACATCAGCGCGTGTTTTAGCACATCCCTGAACAGAAACACAGATGTACGTGTTCTGTAAATGTTCCTAAATCCATCACAACCTTACCCAAGGGGATCTGCAGAACCTTAAGACCACTCTCTTTATTCACTTCGTTTATCTAATGCCATCCAGAGGCAGCTGATCTGCTTTGGCATCAACTGCTTTGGAAAATACTTTCCACTTCTTTGGGATTACAGCTTATTTTTTTTAAATTAGGTTCACTGATGTCTTAACCCAAATCTGGGCAAGTGAAAAGAACCAGAGAAGCCAATCACAGTCCCTGGCAGAGCTGCAAGGACAGAACCCTCACTGCACGACCAGGACAACTTCTGTACACATCTATGGGTGAAACCTGGATGCTTTCTGTAGCAAGGCTGGGTCTCCCACTTGGTGATCTCAGTGCCTCCTGTGCTTGTGCCGGTGTTCTTCTGGAGGTGAGCAAGGCGAAGCATCCTAGGAGGAGAATTAAGGAGGCACTGAATGGTTTAGGGGTAACCATGCTGGTTCCTGTCTCCATTGAAGGCATGTCAGACACTGAGTAAATATTCAGTGACGATTTATTGTCTGGTCTTTATTATTATTACAAAAACAAAGCAGATATCAAAAAACAGCAAAAATTTCACAAGGTCCCCAACAGTTTTACACAACTGTAGTAAAATAGTGAAATTAAAACATGTATTTCAGTCCTGGCCCTAAACCTTCTACAGTGATCTGTGGTCTGGGTTGCCCTGGGCTTTCCTAATTCCTTAAAATGTTCCTCTTTATTTCAGAACCTGACTGGCCCACTAGCTAACATGATGAGGCACAACGCATCAGGAATGTGAGAGCTGTCTGGTATCCTTACAGACCCTACACAACCAGAAAACAAAACAGAGGAGGCTCTGCAAGGATGGTGTCGATACCAGGGTCTGTTTCTCAGACTATCCCAAGCAGCCATTTAGTTGTGCTTGACAAAACCAAATCACTTTCCAGTTGCTGAAAGGTGATTTGCTGTGTAAAAGCTGCTTTTTCTTCTTTTCCTCAGGATTTTTGCTCCCCAAAATAAGACGAGTTCACTGGGCTGGGCTCCAGTGCAAATGGACCACTAACCTTTTAAATTTCACTTTCCAAACTGCATGATGGCCAACTCCATCCCACTGTGGACCTGGCATCAGACTGATGGCAAGGAACCTGAGCAGGTTAAGGAAAATACTCAGCTCTCTGGAATGGTAATTGGGGTTGGAAAAAGCTTTTTTTTTTTCTCTCTTAGTCACGGGTGTAGGGTCAGAGGCTGACCAAAGGCAACATGGTCCAGTTACCTGTGTTAATAATAGTTGCCCCACTTCTCAAATATTAAGATTTTAGCTCAAAACACTGCTTGGCTAGCAAAAAATTAAGACATTGCCCTGTGTCCCTCAGCATTTGCTCAGAGAGTCAGGTACAAATCTGCCACAATTACACACAAATGCAAATCACCCTAAACATCAAATTGTTTACATCACTGAATATGTCACTGAAAGGCCGGCGAGTACCAAATATTCCTGTTAGAAGTAAAATTCCACCTTCATAATTTTCCAGAACTGACAGAAGAGATCACGATGAGCATCATTGGTGGGGTATGACAGAAGCAGCAGGGCGAAGGCAAAGCTGGGGGACAGGGCTGCCCAGGAGCAGCCGTGCCGGGGGGGGGTCAGGGCTTGTACCAGCGGCTCCCTGCTGGAGTTCCAGCCTCACTCCTGCCGGAGTTACACCGTCTTCCTGGCAGTCAGAACACGCACAATGGAGCCAACTCCTCCAGCAGCCAGCGCCTGCCAAGGGAAACATGGCAATGAACACCAGGCCAGGGCAGCCACAGCCTGCAGCTCCCTTCCAGGACCTGAATAGGCCGACAAGAATGATGGAGAGAGACTTTGGACAAGGCCTAGAGTGACAGAACAAGGGGGAAGGGCTTCAAACTGACAGGGAGTAGGATTAGGTATCAGGAAGAGATCCTTCCCTGTGAGGGTGGGGAGGCCCTGGCACAGGTTTGCCAGAGAAGCTGTGGCTGTCCTATCCCTGGAAATGTCCAAGGTCGGGCTGGATGGGGCCTGGAGCAAGCTGGGACAGTGGAAGGTGTCCCTGCTTTAGGGTCCCTTCCAACCCAAACCCTTCTGGGAGTCTATGAAATTACTGGGACCACATTTATATTGCACATGAGTATCTACCCGCCCTCCACAAAATACCAGCAGCTAGGGTGCCAGGATACAATAATCACACTCAATTTCAAAAAAGCTACTTAACTTTAATTAAGCTTTCATTTCCCTGCATAACTAAGCTGCAAATTTTGCTCCCCTCCAGGAAGGAAATTCTCCTTCAGCCTATTTGAATCACTGGATGAAACCATTTTGTTTGCCTCAGTCTAAGAGAAACCCAAATTTTAACAGTTGGGTGTTTACCCAAGGAAGCAGCAGTGGGCAGGAGATATAACTCAGCTCTGAGTTCCAGGGCCATACCCTAGTCACAGCCCGAATCTGGCACTTGAGTCTCACCAGCCAGGAAGGGGGTTCTTGCCAGGCTCAGGGCCTGGGCACCCTGGCAGGAGCTGTCCCCATGCACGCACCTTCTCATGCCACTGCAGCAGCACAGCACTGCTGTTGTCAGAGGGGCTCTCAAAGCCCTTGTAGATGTACTTCATGAGCAGGTCCACCCCGTTCTTGTCCAGCGACTGCACTGCCTTCTCAATGTCATTGGCTTTGAAGGAGATGAGCACCTTCAGCACGATGCTCTCAGCACGGTCCTGTAACAGGC